TCGTCTGGCGCGCCCGCACTCGTTCCTATGTGTGTAGTGTGTACTTAGTAGTTCCATTGGACGCTTTGTCACGAACGTCCACCACCCCGATATGGCAGGCGGGTGAACTAGAGCTGTGGCGCTGCCCTGGCACACGCTTGCATCTGCATACAATGCTTTGATTTATCCCTGCGCTGCGTCGGTGTCGTTCTCGTACAATTCTCACCCGATAACCGATAACACCACACATTTACCTTCGTTCGTTCTACATGACACACATCAATGCTAACATTTTCGACAAAATTAATCCGACTCTCATAATAATAAATGGTCCTCCCATCACGTAACTCCAGAAGCTGAGAATATATTGGAGAGAAGCTGGTTTTTTCGGAGATTAGCACAATAAAAATGTATGTTTGACACGTTGCCTTTACTGGGATTTGGTCAATTTCTAAATTACCGTAAAATTTATTCAATGAGAAAGGTTGAAATGTCCTTGAACAGACTTGATTAGTAGAGATAAAAAGAAAAACGAGTAAGTAACATGAAAATGTTAAAATAGATTAGATATCTATTTACCTAGATAATATTCGTTAGAATGAATAGGTAAACCTGCCTACCGGTGTGAGAACTAAGTACTTAGAAAGAAATAATGTTGGCCATCAAAACCTGGACTCCCACGTTTTCAACGATAGCGTACTAAAACGTAGCGCATAGGCTGTAGCCGCCGTAGCCACATAGTAGAGCTAGAAGAAAAGATGACGAAAATCCTAAATTATTGATTTTATGTGCTACGCGTCCAGGTTTCCACACAGAAAATATAACGTGGATATAAGAGAAAGAGAAGGTACTCAACGTTTAAATAAATGATTAACAGAGAGGTTTTCAGCAAAAGATGACAAAAAGTGAAGTAGATCCATATACGTAAGAACAAGAATAAACATCTCGTAAAACGCAGTCCACGTGATTAAGCCCCTTCGTCACACATCACACCATCACAGCTAGGGCTATAAAACGCTACGTGCCTGAGTCAACGAGTCTACGAAGGACAACCATTGAATGACGCAAAAATGCTTCACATACCTTTCTGTTCCTGTCGATTGCGCTTGATAACACACACTTATCTTTCTCATGCGTCAGGAATGTAGAATATCTACGTAGGTGCAATACCTATCAAGAAATACATTAAAATAACAGCCAAGGAAAATCATTCATTACTTTCAATAAATTGGTACCTAATTTTCATATAATTTACAATAAAGTAATGCATTATTTACGTAATTTAAATTTAAACTTGATTTAAATTTAAACTTAATAAAATCCCTGACCTGCCTAACAGTTACGTTGCGCTTTTCGTATTGTAGGTACCTTTATTGTTATTTGTTAAGTAGTTGTGTTCTAAAATAATAATCTTATCTACCTCATTTATCTGGCGGGGCCTGCAGTGCAGATTATGAAAATACAGTTTACCAGAAAAAAGAAAGGACACGTCCAATGCGCAAAAAAAAGAATGAATGAAAGTATAACAACAAAAGGTACATTCAAAGTGTGATAATACAAGATTTACACTTGTTTATACTACGCACTAGGAGTCTCTTTGCGGCTGCTATCCTTGAGGCAACTTCGTGCCTTGAGTACTTAAGCAACAATATCGGGCATATATCTAGGCTATGTCTTATTTGATCTGCTGGGGCTTAACACGCATTGACTCCATAAATTGACACTGTAACTGTAAGGTACAAATGGTACCAATATTCCGAAGGTAAAGAAGTTCCTTTTAAACTTAATCTAGATTAGGCTTAGGCTGACAAATTGCAATATTCAGGATGGATTTGCATGAGACGTGATAGAAAAGCAATTGGCATTAAGTACTAAGTATTACATAAGTAAATAAAACATAGGTACTAAACGAAGTTTAAAACATAACACTGTAACATGAACATAAATGTATGTAGGTGTACCTCTAACAACCCACTCGCTTATGAGCAACCAAATTCAAGGAACCATGTAATCAGATACTTATGCGGTTATTATTGATACAGAACACTTTATTCTTAACCTCAAGTCTACATTACATACCTACTTATAAATATAATTATATACATTTGTACAAAGTAACGTAGGTAGGTACTTCATAAACTTATATGGAGTAAATATAGAAATATAATACTCCTAGAATGTAGAATTTATTTGTGCAGGAAGATACACGTTATTATTAATAAAGTTACGGTATGATTATTTCAAATTCTTTCAATTCAGATGACCTTTTCAGCACCATTTTCTGTTGGTTTCTTATGAAATTTGTGTGACAATCTAATAGAGATGAAGTAAGTACATGCAAGATGCATATACAACAGATGTTCTAAGAAGTAACAAGTATAACCAATTTTATAACAATCGACACAATTACTGAACTTGCGATTTCTAGTATTTTTTTTACTTTGACTTTGAAAAACGTACAGGCAGCCAACGTCAGGCCAATTTATACAGATAAGTGAAAATGGCAGACTCACTTTCAGAACGTCAAAGTATCTTACAAATACATACCTAAGTAAACGTCGGGTCTTGTTCATTTAATTAAAATTACGAAACAAGTCAAATCCAGTCACTTACTTGTGTATTATGGAGGTTTATATTAAACCGATAGATATATTATTTGATATGATAGGTAAATTCTAAGAAATTCCGCTTGGCCTTGTGAAGCAAGCGTACAGAGCGTGGTAATCTTTGCAGTGTAATTACACATACGTACAACGTTATAAGCTGGTAGTCGTAGAAGGTATATCTTTTTTAATTTTCGTATTCGAGGGGATACTCTCCTCGTAAATATTTTAGTTGGAATCCTCAAACCAACAATATTTGCCTTGGTTCTTGTCTGCCGTACCTACCAAGATCGAAATGATAAGATCTGTTATGCTATGCTAACGTTACCAGTTGCAGCAACTGTCCTGTTGCACGTTATTTTATTAACAATCGTCATGATTGAATGCTACGCATGCGCTTGCAATACTGCTCTAAATTCCCATGTTGTGGCTTCCTAGTGTATAGAGTTACCTACTTGCGTATAAAGTTTTGCACTCAATATTGGTACCTATCTATGCAAGTCCTTGTGTTATTCATGACGCGTTATATTAGTTCATCGGTATGTCCTGCCAGTAGCTACTTAGGTATACATTCTAGTAGGTAGTTGTTTACATTATTGTGCAGTTAATTGGCTCACAGAGTCAGACCATACGCCGTATAAGGCAAGTTGCCGAGAATCTAGTCCCACAAGTCGACGTGCGGCACAACGGCGGCGACTGGCCAACCGCTTTCATCATGCCACGATTACTTATGTCAAGCATTATCCTTTTACAAGAAGTAGGTATTCACAATGTTGGCATGACGTGTATGAGAATAACTACGCATGCACTGACGACTTTGAAATAATTGTCAATAGCACTCTGCACTCTCATACTTCTAACATAATAATTTACCAGCCAGACAACTCGAATGTTCGTTGTTACACTGCATTAACACTGTTATAATCTAATAATGCGTGATTGTGTTTCATAATATACGGCGTTGGTTTACTTTTTGTTTCTCCCAAAAGAAAACAAGACCTCATGAACGCATTCCATAGTTCCCGGCCTCCCACCCCGCCCTCGCATTCCATCGAGATAGTTTTGAAGATAGTTCATTTAGGGATCAAACCTCGACAAAAAATAGATTGATGTTATGAGAAAAACCTCTTAACAGCCCTTCCTCCCCTTGGGTCTTGATTGCAGATTAATAGGTAGGTAGGTACCAAAAAACTGCATAGTTAATTGCCAATGTACAAAATTTCAAATTCCTACCTACCTATCAATTACCTAGCCAATAATAATAAAATCTGTCAGCTCATTAGAAATCGTTTAATTTTACTAAAATTTTACTAAAATTCTAAAATTAAATGTTAGGTACTGAAATTGCATAAAACTGCGTAGGTATAGGTACTAAGAGCTTTAATTTAAAACCAAAGCATTTTGAAGTTCCTGAAGAATTTCACGTGCCGTTTACTCAACAGGAAATTGGATGACGGGTGTGCAAAAGATACTTAGTAGATACAAGATACAATTCTGTTTGACATACCCGCCTATTTGTAAATTTAACGGATGCCACTTCGTTACCGTTTTTGTTAGACAACCGTCAACTAGTTTTTGCTGCCCCAGCATGTGTAGCTACCTAGCTGAATCTGAACACACTGAACACGTGGGATGATGTGCGATATGTTTTCTAATTTGTAATAAGTAGATAAATATGTGAGTTCGCACGGTTTTGAAGAGGCTATTTTTTTATTGTAATCCAAGGAAAGTTACGTTAAAGGCGGCAAACGAGCAGGCGGATCTCTAGATGATTGGCTTTCTGTTCCGCACATTTGTAATTCACAAGTGCCTTGCCGGTCTTTTCGTGGAGTGTGTTTGGGGCACCCATAGAATTATAACGCCTAATCTAAGGGGGCACCCCAAAACTCCAACCTTAACCTCACTGACATTGGATACGGGATACATTGATTCACGTCTGCTTGTTACCTACAAATCATTTCTATAAATTCGCAATTTTGTAGTCATAAAATTGAAATTAAAATGGTGATTAATGTTTATTATTCACAATAAATAACAAATCATCATACGTAGCAAGACTTCGGAGCTTGATATAATTATTTTATTTTTAAGAAATTGCATCCTTCTGCCATCTATTAATGAATAGAAGAACTATTTAAGCATTTCGTATTACGTAATACAGATGGCGCTTTACTACATTACTGAACACAAATTTTAGTTTTCTTCAGTTTTTCGTTAAAGGTTGTCTGTCCACCTTGTCGCTTTAAATTAATAGCACAATATTGGTGTACTCCTTCAGAGTTGGTTAAAGTAGTACTTCATTACGAAAAAATTGCATGCTGTGTAAATTTCTCTCTTGAATTGAAGCATAAAAACGTGTTATAATTTATTATATTCAACACAAAATGAAAAACCAAACAATAATACAGTATTCTTTATTTATACAACATCCCAAACTTCCTCAAAAGCTGTACACAGCTTAGCACAAGTCAATGCCGCTGACAACGGATAATTACTAATTGATATAACATCTTCGGAATAATCTACCTCTACTTTACCATGAGCCATGGCTCCGATAACCATTACAATTGGTTCGTCTTTTGGTACTAATTCTCTACAGTTTTTCACAACTGTAGAACTAAAGGACATTGTCACTTTTCTGACACCAACAGGTAAATGTGATGTGACGGGATTTTTAATAACTTTTAGTAGCTTCATTGGACCATCTGATGCTCGTATTGCAAATTTATGTAGAAGTTGAACTGTAAAAAAGAAATAGCACTTAAGTTTAATGGTCAACTTAAAAATTAATATTATCAAGAATACTATCAGACAAATATGTTACTAACTTACCCATTAAACCCGCAAATCGTTTAAAGGTACGTGGTATTCTGGTTTGTGGGTTTATTTCAATGAGGACATTTTTCTCTGTGTGAATGTAAACTTGCAAGAGACCAGCTCTGTTCAGTGGGGAATCCATCAACATTAGGAGCGATTGATGAGTTATATCTGGCCTGCATGACCCAGGGTCTCTGTCATTCTTCCGTAAAATGTTTGCATGATCATCACAGTTCAGCAACTCAAAACTGTTGCCTGTCTGAAAATAAACACAACAACATTTAGCACGTGGGGTTTAAATATAAAGTTTTAACTGATATACACATAAAAAATATATTCACTGTACCTTTACTGTTTCAAGCTGAGCATTTTCCAAAATAACAATCAGACGTTTCTCTTGCTTTTTAATATGTGAAGTTACTAAATGTCTCGGTATTGGATCGAATTCAAATTCATCATCTTTAGTTCCAAGTTTCCTTTTTTTTCCCATTATTGATAAATACTGTCACAGAAACAATAAGTACACTATTTAAGACGTACTACTTTTAATACAGAAAATACAAAACACGATTCAATTCAAACGCACGTGTTTATAAATTGACATGAAAAATGACAAGACGTCGTTGAGCGCATTAATAGTGAGTGACAATAACTGATTAATGTCAAATCGACATTCCCCGGGTATATTGTTTCTAGACGAACTAAATGAAACTTTTAAATACCGCTTAATTTACATGTTAATATTTTAGAATACTTAGTATTGCAATGCTTTCGTTTGCTTATAATGAAATATAATTTTACCAGAACGTTACCTTGTATTTTTTTGTTTCGCGCCCGCGGTAGCCTCGTCGATTTAGCTCAGCCATAGACTATAATAAAAACTGGATTAACTTTCTGAACGTATATGGCGAATGAAATAAACAAAAACAACTGTTCGCTGTCAATATTCATTCAAGTTATCGTAATGTCATTCATAATCATTTCTCAAAATTAGGCTTTCGAGTTTCGCCTTTTGCTGCATCCCTTTGTTATTATCAATAATATTTTTGGTGTTGTCTTCTACTAACTTTACGATTTTGGCATAATCTTCCGAATAAATTTGTGTTTATTCATAATAAACAAACAGTATCTTCATGGCTAATGATCGAGAAGTTCTTCGTGAAATATGGGACGGAAAGTTGCCGATTTGTTTTCAGTTAGCGCAAGAAGAAATAATGGAAATACAACAACCCGATGCGTTTTATGTTATGGTACCAAGATTGAGCTACTTTCCACTTGTAACAGACAAGGTGGGTTACTTACAATTTCCGTATAGAAGCTTAATACATACATATACAATAACTATGACATACCTATTTTCAAATACTTATTTATTATTGGTATTTTCAGATGAAAAGACACTTCTTGCGTTACATCTCTCAAGAAAACTCTGATAGTGAAATGTGGTTGGATTATAATGGTCAGCCTCTCAAATGGCATTACCCAATAGGTTTTCTTTATGATCTCTATTGTGGTAATGACCCTCAACTACCATGGCATCTAACTGTGCACTTCACAAAGTTCCCAGAAGATGTCCTACTTCATTGTATAAACAAGTAATAATGACATTATTAATTTATCATATTTATTGAAACTAAATCCAAAAAAATCACTGCTGCATACAAATGTTTTTCTTCATATTTCTATAACTTGAATAATTATAATTTCAGGGATGTTGTAGAAGCACATTTTATGTCAACTGTGAAAGAGGCTGATGTTCTGAAACACAGAGGGCAAGTCATGTCCACGATGCAAAAGAAAGACCATAATCAATTATGGCTTGGTTTACAAAATGGTAACAATTATTATATTACAATGTTTTATTTGTCCATACCTATTACTGTACAGACAACTCATATCAAGGGAAAATGAAATGTATATGTTACTGTAAAAGCTCGAACTGCAGTAAATCCTAAGATATTCCAGTAAAACCTAAGACTTACCAATTCCTAATGGTAAATGTCCAAAAAGATTTGCGATTCGAACTTTTACCACCATTCCGTTGGTAAATCTTAGGATTTACGTTATTGGCATGGTGAATGTTGAAAAACAAAACATGTCATAACGTACTCAGCGCATTGACTTGTAGCTCGCCGTTACCGCTACCAGCGCACCGTCTCCGCCGCTCCGCTCGCCTCAGTCGCTCGTTTGACACGTTTGAACTCGCACGATAAATTTATTTCTAATTATATTTTTGGTGTTTAAAAGTTATTTGTGAATCAGAATGAGTATGAAGCAAAGATTTTATGAAATAATGGACGAGTTTGTGGCAAACAAGAAAGATAATAACTTTTATCTTGATAAAGACGAATACGCTAAGTGTTTAGAGGAAGTAAAAACTGCAAAGAACATTAAAAAGAAGGAAGCTGTTCATTACAGGCGTATAAAACGCTATGATATTTTGACTATAGGCGGCGAAGAAAAGCTAAATGCCCCGATGAAGGAAGATAATGATGAAATCAAATATTATGTTTGTTATGACGATTTATTTAACATTCTCGAAGAAACGTATTTTGCTGTTGGACACGGTGGAAGAACAAGGACACTTGTCACTATCATTATTATATCTTTAAAATACTATGTACTCATTGTTTTATTCCTAAAACTAACATCTACCAGCTGATAGTGGTAAAACCTAGCATATACTGAGTTCGAATGGTAAAAGCTCGAAAAAATCGTCGTATCTTCAGAAATACTTACATTTACCAACTCATGTCGGTAAATCCTAAGACTTACACTGAAATCTTAAGATTTACCGTAGTTCGAGCTTTTACAGTAACATATATACATACCATACAAGTACCACAATTTGGTTTAGTATGAATCACGCTGTTTTATCAATATCACAATATTCTGCAGCATTTTCATAGTTACTGGGCATTAACCAGAGTGAAAAATTATAACATCACTTACTTTTAATATCTAGTCTTTGTTTTAAGTAGATGCAAGGTACCTATTTTAAAATGGTGTTGTTTTATTGCAGATAAATTCGATCAATTCTGGGCCATAAATAGACGACTGATGGAATCCCACGGAGACAGTGAGGGTTTCAAACACATTCCTATTAAATTGTACTCAGATGATGGAACATGCAGTCAGCGCCTTGTTAGTCCTAAGAACAATGATGGCAGTAGGAAAACATTGCAACAGATGATTGCAGAGTTGTATCCAGATAAACTTGATGGTATGTATACTCTATTTAAATATGTACCATTGATTATATTAATTATTTATAATGTCAATCTTACAACCACTTTTCTATTTTTAATGTTGCCCCACATTAGGGTTTTCTCCTATACATATAGTGGGTACATACAAGTTCACATACACATAAGATATATAAACTTTATACTATACAAAATGCTTTATTAAACATTTCCATTTTCTTTTTCAGTACAACTAAGGACACATGGGATAGTAATTCCACCTGACACACCTCTACAATGGCTTTCTGAACATTTGAGTTACCCAGATAACTTCCTCCATATGTGTGTCTTTTAAGAAACTAAATTATATGCTTTATTTCCTAAGCCATAAGATAAAATGTGATGCAATTAAATCAAAGACACTGTAGTAATGAATGGTTTTATTGCCAAATAGTCACTTTTAGTGAATATAATTCAACATTTACAGAGAGAGAACAGTCCTTACACAATACTCCTTGCAAATAACTTTGTCTAACTTAAGTTTGTATTTACATCATTGTTAGTTTATTAATACAATACAATACAATATTCAGGTTAACATCAAGACTCCTAACGGCCGTTCCCAATATTCAATCCATAGGTAAAGATAGATAGCTATCCTCGATAGTCAGTTAAAATCTATCTATCTTTCGATGTCGTCCCAATAACTAAAATGTGTCTTTGCTATCTCTAGTTAACAGTAGATAGGGTGCCTATCTGAGCCCTCCCGTGTGTTTCATTATATGCAGAGCTCCACAGAGTGCCACTAAGTTACAATAATGTTTTTAAAGCATCTTGTCATGTTTATATCACAAACATTTTGAATTAATTAACGAAACCTTATATTTTGCACTAATTTTATATTATACAATATTTTTTTAAGTTTAATATAACGAAAACTTCATGTTTGCGACTGGAATAGTGCGCGACTTGTAACGGAACGTATTTGTTAAAAGATTGACATTTGACATTGTTGTTTGTTGATTATGTTTACAATAAATTGTGATAATATGTATAACAAAGAATTGTTTGTTATAAAAATGACCTCAGTAAGTATTACAGTTTGTGCTTTTCTAGCTTTAGATTGAAGCTATTGAAGTTTTAAAGTTCTTGATTACATGAACATACATGTGACTAATAACTCGTGTTTGGTGCACTCATTGCAGCAAAAGAATATGCTATTGACGAAAGAAGAAGTAATGCAGCTGGTACAATTGGTGGAGGCAAATCCATTGATGTTCAGCAAAGCCACAAATGCAAGCAATAATCAGCTCAAAGACGCGACTTGGAGGATTAGGTATCACAGATAGTTTCTTGTGTATTTCATTTTTGGGGTTTGGTATTGGTTATGACTAATTACTTTTCAATACTGTTTGGTTACAAAACTTTTATATGGTGGTTGTAGTGAGGACCAAAATGGAATAATACACTGAATAATATTTTTCTAGGAAAACAGAAAAGACGAGCTGATGCAGATGAAATGAGTCAATTACAGATTGAAATCAGGCAATCGCAGAATATTACTTCCAAGTCAAAAATAAAACACGACGATGAAATACATGCATTAAAGAAAAGGAAACTCTAGCTAGATATACCGGAGAAGGAGAAACAACCCAATAATAATTCATGTATTAAAATAAATTAAAACAGTTTATTCTAAACCATCTTTTTTTACACTGTGTAATTTTGCAACACATAATAATTAAAATAAATATGTAGGTAAGAATAACTGACCTATCTATATTGATACAATTATAAATTTCTCAAATTTAGTCTTCTTAGCCTAAATCTATACACAAACTCGTAATCGGCATATCAATACATGTAATTAACACGCCCTTGATATGATCGTGTTGTGGTGTGGTGAGCACATCATCCTCGTCAGATCCCCAGTTCCTTATTTGTTCCAAAATATCAATAGCACTTGAACTACTACTTGAACTGGAGACCGACATGATTTTTTGTTTAAATCTGATGTATTTTTAAGAAATAGAAAAGATATGTAACTGATCTTCACTGATAACTATACTCCTATATGTATTTTTAAGAAATAGAAAAGATATGTTACTGATCTTCACTGATAACTATACTCCTATCCATCAAAATCCTGCGATAGAGCTATAGCCTACTAGGGATAACCAAAGCTACTGACAGATAGCACCTTTGTTATTATTGGGACACGTAAACTGTCAATTTCATAGTAAAAGCAATCTGTAGATAACCTATCCGTCCTCCCTCAGGTAATGACAACCATAGATTAGTTTGCCTATCGCCAGTAAGTTTATTGAGACGGCAAATTTAAAGATAGATAGATTTTTCTATCTCTAGTAGGGCAAAACAAGAGATAGATAGAATATTGGGAACGGCCGTAAGAGTATAGCAACAAAATAAATAATAATACATGATCTTTTCTCTTTATCTAAATAAAACATTGTCAACAAATGGAGTTTGTATCATTATAAACAGGTGTGATGTTTTGTAGAACTCAACAAACCAAATGCTCTTAAAAATGCTTCTGTATTATTATTCTCATTTTATGAAATACAACTATTTTGTACAAAAAGGTTTAAAGCTAAATAAATTAACAAATATGAGTTGAAAATATCACAAGGTTACCTTTGTTGTTTAAGTTGTTTATAACTCTGTCTTCTGTTTATTCTTCTGTATTACATAAGGAATGTGTCTTGTAAACCGCTTGCACCCATTATTTGCAAATATTGGCTGATCTTCATTAGGGCCATATGTTATAACTGATAAAGCTTCCCTGTAATAAATGTGTAAAGATTTAAGTTTTAAACTATTTTAATAAGCACTTAAGTGTACATAAATAAATAATGTATTTAATTTAAATTATGTTGTTTGACTTTGAAAACTATCTAATTAGTGTACTTTAATTAGCTGTTTAGGGTAAAAATCTTTGGGAGAATATGAAGATTCTAATGGTATATACCATTACTTTTATCCATTTAATATTTTAGGTTACCTGGCAGATTTAACAAAAAATCTGTTACATACAATTAAAAATAATTCATAACTTACGCCATCATTTCCTTTGTTGGGTGGTATATGGCATGAGATCTAAACTCGGCTAGAGCACACATTTCCACATGTTGCTGCTCCAGTGGTAAAAATGGCACATAATGATCTATTAAGTGATTGGCTATTGCAGCAGCCTTTTCAAACCCACCTGGCACAATAAATTATGAATTAATAAAAAACAAATTTTTGCATTAAAAAGAAGGAAAATATATTTTTTAATAACCTTGGAAATATGCTGTCCTTCTTATAATTGGCTCAAAGTCATGAAATTCAACATCATTCCGCTTTGCACCTTGATCATAGAGTTCCAACAACTTTGTTGCTATTTCTTGACCTCCAATATTTGATATGAATATAAATATACTATCTCTGAAAAGGAAAACAAAAATCATGGGAATAGAGTCAACCTTGAAAGGTTTGTTTCTTTCACTTGAAAAGATTATTATTAATACTTATAATTTACCTATAATCAATGCCATCTACAGCATGATGATGATCAAGCATTGGTTTAATGGTATCCAATACTGAAGGACACATATCATGAATCTCATCAAATATAATTAGTGATTTTGGACATTTTTTTACAATACTATTTAAAGTAGCCACCAAATCTTCCTGAAATAAAATAAACACTTTGTTTTATAAGATTTTATGATTTTTTTTAGGGGTAAAATCATCGAATGACTGCTTCCGTCTGGGTGAGGCGGGAGGGAGTGTCAGACTCTTACTGACTAAAAACCACTCTGTTCCTTCTCCTGCACGTCGAGCCGGAGCCCCGGTATCCCGTTATATTATCCGCGACAAGATTTTATGATTATGTTCAACATTGACTTAAACAGCAGATACATTTCTTTATTGTTATATTAAAGATGAATCATAAAAGTATAACTAGCAAGTCTTAAAATGTGCCTTATATGTAGGTACTTATATTTTTATAAGTTTATACTTACTTTTTTCTGCTGCAAATTAGAGCAGTCAAAATCTTTTTTTCCCATATATAGCTTGACATATTTACTGTGCATACCTTTAACATAAAGTGCCTCAGCTATCATAGTAGCTGCATAATTTTTACCTACACCAGGCCATCCATGAAGGCTTATCACTAGAGCCTTTTTGTTACTTTTGTTTGGATCATTTACAGCCTCCTTATGTGCATGTAATATATTAACCAACTCATCCACTAAAGGTTGTCCAAACATTTTTTGTGATAAAGTTTGTTTTAACTCTGTAAAGTAGACCTCAATATTAATGTGTTGTGAGAACTCTTATTATCTGTATAGTTGGAATGTTTATTTTCTTATTGAAAAGTAATAACTATATGTACTCACTATTAATATCGAAAGGCACATGCTGATCATTGCAACATTCACATACCGACAATACGTATTATCTTTTATCGTACTCCATTTGTACCAGCTAGCTATAGCAGAGGCACCGAGTATAGACATGGTTATAAATTCCGAAAAGCAACATTGTAATAAAGTTAACAATATTGAAAACAATAAAATGTTATTTCTAATTAGCATTTTGTTACAGAATCTGACAGGCGGGAATATTGTAGACGAGTAGAAATAATATTCAATTATACGGTTTACACGAGCAATCAGCACTTTAAATTAGATGGTTGTATAAACTTCATTTTACTTATTTCTTTCTAGTTCGTTAAAAAGTGGCCAAATTGGTTTATTACTTTTACAAACAAATTAAAAATGATGTTCTAAGTTTACAAAGAGAGATAGGTATAAGACATTTGATTTTGATTTCATTTGAAATCAACAATCGTGACATTTACGACATTTGATTTGATTGACATTTGACAGACGTTATAACCATAGAGCCAAGAAAAAAGGCATGAAAAAAAAACGAAATCGATTAGCAATACTGACAATCGACATCGACAATAAGTCAATGTCATACTAAAAACAGATGTTTTGAATTTGATTGTATAGCTTGCTACAACAATCAAATTTATTAATTGCTTTCTTGTATAACAACAAAATATCTTCTTATTTTATAAAAGATAAAATAAGTTCCAACGTCGTCTTATTTAATACATTTTACAGAATGACATCAATGAAATATAAAGTTGAATCAGGAGTTCAACTGTTAGCAAGGTTGACAAAGAAGCCAGTCATTGAAAACTTTTATTGCAATTTATTCCAGCCCGGACTGAAACAGGATGATGTTGTCGAAATAGTTGGTGAAGAAATCTCTTCAAGTTTATTGATCGATTTAATTGCAGAAGCTTTATTACCCAGCAAGATTAGTGTAGAGCCCATTGGTGTATTAGTTTTCAACACTATTGGAAAACTTAACTATGAAGAACTTATCAAAACATTGAAAAAACGAACGGGTACATTATCTGCTTCAAATATTGATTGTGTTAAAGTGAATGATGTCCTTCATAGAACTCTCAGTAACTTGTTCATGTTAGACATTTATGATGCAACACAGTTGTATACAACTATTCATAACTTAGACAATATATTGTCAAACCATCATAATATATCATTACTAATATTTGATACTTTGACGGCATTCTACTGGTCAGAGCAAGGACATAAAATAACAAAGATGGATTTGTACATAAAAAATTTACTCAAAATGATACAAAAAGTTACAAAAGAACATAAAGTAATATTAATTTATACTAAACCCAGACATTTCAATTCAAACAAAGATTCTGGCAATCCAACTGATATTCAAATCACTGAGGAAATAAATTATAAAGTACAATTAATAGAAAGTAGTTCCAGGTCACATAATTTAGTTATAAAAACAAATGACTTATGTTACACAAAATACATAAATATAGAAGACAATCAAATAAATTGGCTTTGAATTATCATAAAATACGTTTTATTTTCGCTATATCTAATATCATTTTAAACAACTATTTTGATCTCAAATCTAGAATCTATGTTTAATAAATTATAAATCAGTGACCCTACTTGTACTTTATCTAAGTGATGTAAAAAGTTAATAAAAATTGCATATACCTACTATATCAAAATTGTGCACATGCTAGGGAAACGCAACCATCAAATTGCTATTATAGTGTATATTGTTTTGAAGTATCATAACATAAGGGTCATGTACACTGTTTCATAAAGTAGAAACCATGATATAAACTAATTTGTCTGATTTTGTCAGCACAATAATTACTTAGTTAAATAAAATCTAATAATTAGTAATATTAATAACAAGCTTTAAAGATCATAGATCTATTTAAAAGAAATCTTAATATAACGGAATTTCAAATTTTTATATAAAAACAATTATAATACTGCAAGAGATCATAAGAAGAGATTCAGAAGACGCTTATTTTCTATGCTTGTTATTTAACTATTATGAAACTTACTTAAATAAGTATATAGACAACATACAAAAACCCTGCAAGAATGTGACTGAAATAATCAAGGTTTTCCCATTTACTAATTGTGTGAAAATATGAATAACCTGATTCTTGTACAGAAAATGATGCTTCAAACATCACCCCTAAATAAGCGAGGTGTATGATTGTTATTATAGAAAATATTGTGTTAGTGATTATTGCAATCATACTGTTCTTCTTGTGTTTGTGATCACATAGTTTAACACATGGATTTGCTAAGCAACAGACTTCAAATGTTTGTGCTACCTTAAGACGTAAATTATACTCAACATATGAGAATGTCCCTATACTAAGAAGAACAGCTGAAAATTGGAAATTCCATCCATGAAGCAATGATGATACAGCATATGTAATGAATATGGCAACAAATTTACCATATGGTTGACAAGTTTTAAAAACATAATGCTTCAACCATTGGTGCATGGGAATATTCCAATAAATTACCACTTGGACCAGTGACCTTGGCAATTCAATGAAGAATGGTTTAGTGACTTGAACTTCAGAGCGACAGTCATTTGTAAGTCCAAATCCAGCACTTGTCATTGAGAGCATAGACATCCTAGATATAAAATAATGAGACATTCTAAAAGCTTGTGCATCTCTATAAGCTATTAGCCACTTTGGTAATGAATCATCAATATACCATGGTACTATACAATTGGATAAAGTCAAGAAGAATATAGATACAAAAAGATCAACAACAATTAACTTAATCCATCTTTTGTTGAGAAATTTAACTTCAAGGTAGTTATTGTAATGGTGGAATGATATCCATGGACCAATAACAGAATTAGCTGGACACAGTAAATACCCTCCAAATTCCACAGGGTTCAACATTTTTTTAAATAAATCTCTGTCTAACTCTATTGCTACAGAAATTATCTTCATAGCTGCTATCATCTGGATGCCTCTTATTTGTTGCCATAGTTTTGGATGGAGTATATGAACTTCACAAAGTAACAGAAATGAAATAACAAACATAGACACCACTAGTCCTCTCCATTTTTTAGTAACAAATGATAGTAAAATTATGAGAATATAAGCACTAGCTGTAAGTCCAACAGTCCAGATAAATGGAGGACCTATACAATGATATAAAAGGAAACTGCCAATAACTAAACTCAAACTGTGGCGAAGGTTGTGAGGTAGCGGTATATACTGGATCATGAGACGAAGAGCAACATTAGCGAAAAGTAAATCTCTAACGAATCGGAAACCTTCATATACAGTTGGTTCCACACACAATAGCATATAGGTCCAAGCATTTTCATTGTATTCTTCTTCTTCATTCATGTTTTATCAATGCAACCACGCCGGCTTCTTTGTTTCGTCGTACTGATTTCCTATTCCATTAAATATATTTCATATCAAATAGTTCATTCCTTTTATACTTGTTTCCGTTTTTTAAAAGAAACGGCGATTGATTTGATATCTCATTTACGAATTTCAATTTCGCAATATATGCTTTACAGTCACATATTTACAATTTTCAGTTTTCTTTCTTCGGTACCCACACACTATAATATTGTCTTGTCTGAATGTCTGTCAAGTAATTTGACATCAAGATGAAAATCTTCAAAGAGAACTGCATAGATTATAATTCTCTATACACCTGATGTCTATGGTCTATAACGATCTTGTTTACGATGCATGGGTCATAGAGTAAACAAGCGTTGTGATTCAGCTATATGGTTCTTGTTTGCGTTAAATTTTAGAATGCACGTAATCTGAATCAAAGAGTATAAATTAATAAGTAAAGGGGAAAATCTAAATGAAGCATTATGGCACTAACAAACGGGTGCCGCTGTTATTTTTGCTATAAATAACTTTGGTAGTCCTGGGAATTGGGAAACCCATGCATAATTTTCAAATTATATAGACCTTTTGCACTAGTGGTACACAATCGTATAAAAGTTTTTTAACTTTTATAGGATTTTGTTTTCTTTTGAAAAGGAAGGCAAACAAAACCTTTTTAGCACTTCCAGCATATATCCTGGTTGATTCTTCAAGCGTTTCTAGTTGTTTCTATAGTTCTTTGTGCATGATCAATGACGTTGACTTGACATAATATCTTGTTGCCAGTAAAAATATTAAAACAAAATAAATATCCAGCTTTTCAATATTTAGAATTTAAATTTTTTTGTTAATTAATTGTACATAATTTTTTTATTCTAATCCTTGATAAAGTAAGGAAAAATATACAAGTCTGTTTTGCACAAAGAAAAGTGTATAATTATTAGACAGAGTTGATTATATAATGGCAACATTATTCTAAAGTTGCATTGATTGGTATTGGGATGTTGTATTATTTTATTTTAACTGTTTAACATAGAAATTTCTCGTCATCAATGCTTTTACAACAAACGTGAGACTGCTTAATACCCAGCACTTGATAAAGTACGGAATTGTGTATTGAAGTGACGTGAACTTCCATAAACATTCGCTACGTCTCTGAACCGTGTTAGCGTGCGTAACTGTTTAGTATAAAATCCGTTTGATATGTGCATTCAGTGACTTTTGTTTTAAAGAGATGGCTAGCCCGTCACCTCAGAGCAGTCCGATGCCGCCACCGCAGGCACCGAGCCCAATGGGGCCCCCCACTCAGAGTCCGGCTCCGCCACAGTCTCCGCATAGCCCCTACAACCAACAACATGTCAACGGGCCGCCTCCGTCTCACCCTCCTGGTGCCGGACAGCCGCCGATGCCTAATCATATGTCACCGTCAGGGCCAGGGCATCCTATAGCATCAAATTCTAATGGGCCTCCTGGTGTACCACAGCAGCATTCCGGAATGCCACCAACTGGACATCAGATGCCTCCGCACATGGTTGGACCTCATATGCCAGGCCCACCAGGACATCCAATAGGTCCTGGAGGTGCCCACCCACCTGGACCCAATGGCCACCCTGGTGCGCCACAGCATCCTATCATGCCTGGACAGGGTCCACCTCATGGCTACATGCAACATCAAATTGGCCATATGCCACCTGGACAGGTAAATATTGTTTGTTATTTTAACTCGTCGAGTACCGTATTTATAGACACAATTAAAGAACAATAGGTTGCGGTCACCGGTGACCGCTTGGTGTTTGACAGTTTAATAAACCTAGTAGTTGTTTGCTGTTTAATGAAAGTGGTTGAGATTTGAATACTTTAAATACAAATATTCGAGCAAAACAAAAGTTTATATTCTATTTTTGTATTTACATGAGAATAGTACAAGTGAACTTTATGACATTTAATGAAAATGAAAAACGATTTAAAAGTAAATGTTATAATATCATAGTGCATATAATATTTAGAAGCATTACAATAACATGTAAGCAATGTCTATTTTGATTACCAAATAGTGGACTGTAAATAGTATTTCCAAGTAGTAAAATCTCCTTTATCATAGTAGAAAACCGATCAGTCATTGGCTGTATATCTTCAGGACTAGCGTAAATATATTCCATATTGTTCATATATATGGTGTAGACAATAGGTGTGTTCAATTTCTTCTTTACCCAATCAGCCACATTACCAGTGTAATTATCTACATGAAGATAAATTAATAACTCTTTAATTACTAATATGTCATTGGTGAAAAAAATAGGAACAAGTGTACTTTATTATACATATTTATTATACGCACAGAAATAGGAAGAAGTAGCACCATAGAAAAAAGATCTACCATACTGCTCTTTTACTTTTTCATGCACCGAAGTTATAATTTCCATCTGCAAAATTAATGTACTTTATAATAAATATGAAATCAACCAATTTTACTAATATTACTTAAATAAGAGAATATCAAACAATATTGTTACCAAAATAGGATAATTATTAGCATGATCAGTCGTGTACCCATAGGGTATTGTCACAAGATCATGGAAAGATCTGAGATTGATGAACGCCAACAATTGAAGAGAATGTTTATTTAAAAACCTTGCCAAGCTTATGGTTTCTTCTTCTGACAAAGATTTGGAACCTGAGAACACTGGATCACATTCTTCATTTCTTACTGAAAATATAATACAATGATAGTGTTATCATTAGTAAGACATGAACTCAACATCAACTAAGTAGCAAGGCATGAATCGGAGCCTTAAATGTTTTGCTTACATGTTTCTTTGCTAAAAAACCAATTTCGGTCCAAATTAATACCAATGCCTGATACATTTGTGCTACACATTTTCTTGGGAAAATAAATTTTTCTATTTCTCGCCCAAACAAAGTCCTGGAAAATGATGTTTCTTAATTGTTGACATATTATTTTCAATGAAGTATTAAAAAATGACATTAATTTTAATACTTAATTACTTTCATGCTGTAATCATAACCATCAGGATTAAGCATTGGTAGAATATAGAAATCATGATGTTTTATTAGCATATCTACATTAAGTCTATGCTGCAATATGTAGTCAATAAAATTCAAAAGTATTGCAGGAGACACCTTGTCTCGGCCATCTTCACCCCCCAAAACAAATACAGCTGATTTTTTATGTCCGCTTGATAATTTTAATACTATTATTTCTTTTTTCTCATAAGTTTCACCTATTTTGATTTTTGTTAATTTTGGAAAATGTTTGATTTTAGAATCAATCCAAAACTGGATTGCATCCCAATAATAAAATGCTTTTGTTATATTTGGAGTATGTGTTCCATCCCAACGGTTTTCAATACAAAGAATTTCTCTACTTTTCGCCCTGTAAAATATAATATGTAAGGGAACACATATTTTAAATCTATTTTGAGTTTGACATCAACACATAACAATACACTAGTCTTACAAAAACTTTTCATTAATTTTAACAAATTCTATGTCATCATCTCTCAATTTTTCTTCAAAAAAACTTGTGCAACATTTATCTACAATAACATCCATAGGTACAGCTGCCTCATTAGTGATTCCATTTAGAAACACAAGTTCTTCATTTTTTACATAAAGATAATACAATAAGGCCCTTTCTCGAGCATTAAAAGCTGTCACTTCATAAATTGCATAGTTTTCAAATCTCTCTCTTGGTTTTGTTATTTGAGCTAATTCTTGTTGAATTAATAAAAAGTAAAAATAGAAATTTAGAAAATGTAACATTTTCAATTGATTTTTACTCATAAAAGCTATTATTCAGTAAGGCCATGCTGTGTGATATTAAGATGGCTTTTTAAAGTAGATGACTAAAATAAATGTATAATGCTACAATTTAACTTCTATTTAATGAGTTTATTAGATTGCCTAAAATAACAAAACACATTGTTATGCTAAGTTAATAACAAATTATAATGTTGTCGTAGGCACCTATGCCAATGGGTGGAGGACCACCACCTGGTAATGGGCCGCAGGGTCCACCTGGAGCTCCAGGGGTGCCTCTACCTCTATCGGGCCCACCACCGCACGGAGTACACCCGCAGGGAATGCCGCCTGCCGCTCCTGGCCACATGTCTTCGCACCATCCTATGATGCCAGGACAAGGCCCTCCACCGCATGCTGCTTCCCCTGGATATGGCCACGTTCCTCCTTCCGGGGCTGCAGGAGGCCCGGCGGCGTCGCCTTCAGGGGCACCTCCTACTGCTCCGCCTCAGGGCGGTGCTCCTCCACATCCGCCGGCTGCACAGACACCTCCGCACGGACAGCCACCACCGACATCCTCGGCGAACGGCCCCCCACCTGCGTCATCTCCAATGCAGGGCTCACTACCGGCACCCGGTCCTGATAACCTGCACGCCATTCAACGAACGATTGATTCTATGGAAGAGAAAGGACTACAAGAGGACCCAAGATTCTCGCAGTTGTTAGCACTGAGAGCACGCTCAAATCCTGGTCAGGACCCCAGCAAGGGTTTGTTTAGCAACAATCAGCTCTGCCAGCTTAAGTAAGCCTTATTTCACGAATTAGTTGAATCTAAATAATACAAAAAAATATTATGTATGTGATTTTTATCGTTAACTGTGATTATTATAGGGCTCAAATAACAGCATACCGAAGCCTCGCGAGAAATCAGCCACTGTCACAGCAGATAGCTATGATGGCATCCGGCAAGCGCACGGGGGAGACACCCCCAGAGTGCCCTACTCCTCCAGCTCAGCCCCCGTACGGTGAGGGGCAGGGCGCGCCACCTAGTTCCGCGGCTGGGCTGGGTGGACTCAGCGCCACCGGAGGCAAGGCAGGGGCCGGCGGCGCGGCCGGAGACGCAGCCCGCGGCGGCGGCGGTGCTCCTCCCACTCCGCTCCCGATGACAGGCCAGATGGCACCTCCAACGCAACTTACTCCACCTCTAGTAAATCCTGTAAGTTATTGCATATATTATTAAAATGATACATGATACATTGGATTTTTTCGTGACAAAATATTGATACTTACACAAATAATACAATTTTATTTACTTTTAGCCAGTAAGTGGGGGACCACCTTTGCGTGGACCCGCACCATTGCGTCCGCAAGCTCCGGGCACGCAGCCTCAACATCAGGTAATTTTGTTTCATAATCCAGTCTTAATAATAAAATTGTTTTTTTTTTTTAATATTTTAAATCAAGAAGGTAGGTTCGTCCACATTTAATTTGTAAAAATAAACAGTAGTAACATAATTTTTTATCTATACCAGCCAGGGGTTCCAATACCAGGAACCAAGCAGAATCGTATCACCAGTATGCCCAAACCTGTGGGAATTGATCCTCTACAGATCCTGAATGAAAGAGAAAATAGGTAAGTTAAAATGTACATTATAATGTATACAATAAATAAAGTGAAATGGAGATTAACTGTGTATCTTACTATAGGATTGCAGCGCGCATTGCCCATCGCATCGAATTGCTCTCCAATCTGCCAGCCAACATGCCAGATGACCTCCGACTGCAAGCACAAATTGAGCTCAGGGCTCTTCGAGTGCTCAACTTCCAGAAACAATTACGTTCTGAGGTAAATATTGAACTGCCAAGCATTTTCCGATGTAACTCTATCAAACACCCAGGATAGCGATAGTTAAATAACATGTCTAAATCATAATGTTTTAAACAGATTCTGGGTCAAGTCCGCCGCGACACGACATTAGAAACAGCCGTGAACATCAAAGCGTACAAGCGTACGAAGCGACAAGGGTTGAGAGAAGCTCGCGCTACAGAAAAGTTGGAGAAACAACAGAAACTGGAGGCAGAGCGGAAGCGGCGACAGAAACACCAAGAGTTCTTGCAGACTGTGTTGCAACACGGTTAGTCTATAATATGATACGTCGACGATGATGATGTCTATGCTGAAATAAAAATATTCCAATTATAATAAAACATACTACACAATTTTTAGATTATGTATTGATAAGAATTTTAAATGTAATATTGCAGCTAAGGACTTCAAGGAGTACCATCGCAACAACATGGCGAAGCTGTCACGTATGAACAAGGCTATCATGAACCATCACGCTAACGCCGAGCGGGAACAGAAGAAGGAACAAGAGCGCATTGAGAAAGAGCGTATGAGACGGTAAGTTTTTAACATAAAAGTTTAAAAGAATTTACGATGAAATAAAATTGCACAGACTCATGCTCATCATATTTTATGTTAGTTTGATGGCGGAAGATGAAGAAGGATATCGTAAACTTATTGATCAAAAGAAAGACAAGCGGTTGGCGTTCCTTCTGTCGCAGACTGATGAATACATCGCCAGCCTCACGGAGATGGTCAAGCAACATAAGCAGGAACAACGTAAAAAGCAACAGGAAGAAGAGCGCAGGAAAAGGGTTAGAGTATAAATATTTTACTTTATCTTTACCACATAACATTTGTTTGATAGATACTGAAAAGCTTTATACTTATACTTATTTTAATAATTTATGCAGAAATCGAGAAAGAAGAAGTTGTTGGAAGGCGGCGAGATCGATGCGTTGGATGACAGTTCGCAAACATCAGATTCGCGCGTTAACGTTATGGATCCTAAGACTGGCGAAGTAAGACTAGCTTCATCTTATTACTATACGACTGGTGTTAAAAATATTGTAACTAATTCGATTATTTACTAATAGATACTGAGGGGAGAAGAGGCGCCATTGTTGTCTCAGTTGAAGGACTGGATGGAGACACCCCGGCTGGGAGGTAATGTCAGACTCTGAGGACTCTGGAGACGACAGCCAAGACGATGACGGTAATTATACATTCTAATACATTATATATTCTTCTACAAATAGAGTAATTTTGAATTCGTAATAATATACTATTCTTCGCGTCCTTAGAAAAGAGGAAAGGACATAGAGATGAGAGGAGTGACAAAGAGAAGACTGAAGAAGAGAAAGCACGGGAAATGATCAAGAAGGCCAAGGTCGAAGACGATGAGTATAAGACAGAAGAACAGACTTACTACAGGTTTGTTATTGTTATATTTTGCTGACCTCAGTGATACAAGTTTTATGCAAGTGAAATATTACAAACAAATGTAAATTGAAACTGAAAGTAATGATTTCGTATTCTTTCAGCATTGCTCACACAGTCCACGAGTCTGTTACTGAACAAGCCAACATTCTCGTCAATGGTAAACTTAAGGAATATCAAATCAAGGTAAATTAATGTTAAAACAACAATTTAATATACTTATTAACAACAATACTTTGTATTATACATTTAACTAATATTTTACATTGTTTCCAGGGTCTGGAGTGGCTGGTATCTTTGTTTAATAATAACCTGAACGGCATTCTGGCAGACGAGATGGGTCTCGGTAAGACCATCCAGACTATAGCGCTGGTCACATATCTAATGGAGAAGAAGAAAGTTAACGGACCTTTCCTCATTATTGTACCTCTGAGGTAATAATGTCAAACTTTGTTTAGAGAGTCTAGTGCGAATTTTTTTTCACCTTAACGTGATAGACATGTTTATGACGTTCGCGTTCTGATTGGTCAGCTCTGAGTCAACCAAAAAATCAGAGGTAACGAGGTAGCATGTCAATCGCGTTAACGTTAAACAAACTCGCGCTCGGTACTCTAATATTATTTTGTTGCACTTACTTTATTAGATAGTATTAGAATTTGAAGTTTAACTTTTTACTGATTTCAGTACTCTATCCAACTGGGTGTTGGAGTTTGAGAAGTGGGCGCCAACGGTGTCAGTGGTGTCGTACAAGGGATCCCCTCAGTCGCGTCGCCTCGTACAGGCACAGATGAGATCTACCAAATTCAATGTGCTGCTTACAACTTATGAATATGTTATCAAGGACAAGGCTGTACTGGCTAAGGTATTATACTAAAAATGTATTGAAACATACAATATGTAGAATCTTTGTTGAATAGCATAACAATGTTTGTCTTTTTCACAGGTACAATGGAAGTATATGATAATCGACGAGGGTCATCGTATGAAGAACCATCATTGCAAACTGACACAAGTATTGAACACGCACTACATAGCACCACACCGCCTGCTTCTGACCGGTACCCCGCTACAGAACAAGTTGCCGGAGTTGTGGGCACTACTGAACTTCTTGCTGCCCTCCATCTTTAAGAGTTGCTCCACATTCGAACAGTGGTTCAACGCACCTTTCGCTACAACTGGTGAAAAGGTAAGACACAGTTTTTAACAAATTAATTAGGAATTTAAAAGTGGATTTCATCAACATTCAATTTATAAAAAAACTTTCTTGTAACTAGGTGGAACTGAACGAGGAAGAAACTATCCTCATCATTCGTCGTCTACACAAAGTGCTGCGTCCATTCTTATTGCGTAGGCTCAAGAAAGAGGTAGAAAGCCAACTACCTGACAAGGTGGAATACATTATCAAGTGTGACATGAGTGGACTACAACGTGTCCTGTACAAGTAAGTCTATACTAATGGCTTAGTATAGTCGCTAGCATCTTATAAATACATAAGCAAATTACTTTTATGACTGATTCTAATATAATGTATTTTTGCGCAGACACATGCAGTCTAAGGGAGTACTGTTGACGGATGGCTCAGAGAAGGGCAACAAAGGTAAAGGTGGTGCTAAAGCGCTGATGAACACCATCGTACAGCTGCGCAAGCTTTGTAACCATCCCTTCATGTTCCAACACATTGAGGAAAAGTTCTGCGACCATATTGGCACGGGCGGTGGTGTGGTCTCAGGGTAAGAATACATTTTAGGTCATTGAAATGTACGTTTTCCTAACAGTTTTAAAAATGTAAAAAGATATTGATGTTTATTTCTCAATAATGTTTAAATGACTAAAAATTAAAAAGTAAAATACGTAGTTTTGAACTAGGCTACTTTAAATCCCGGAATAATGTTCATTTCCCGTGGTTACAGCTTATCCAAAGTAATACAAGCCAGGCTTGACTTTAAAAATGGCTATTTATTCACAGACCGGACCTATACCGAGTATCTGGTAAATTCGAACTTCTTGATCGTATATTACCGAAGCTGAAGGCAACTGGGCACAGGGTTCTGGTGTTCTGTCAAATGACACAGTGCATGACCATCATTGAAGACTATCTGTCCTGGAGAGCTTTCCAATATTTGAGGTGAGAACAACACATCAATTTTAAATAAGTAAATTTTATAGGTTTGACCTTTTTGTTATTTTGATATTTTTCTTATAATAAAATATAGACAAGTGTTTATATTTTGCTTTAACCTCTTAATAACTAATTGATGATTGTATTTCCCAGATTGGACGGTATGACAAAAGCTGAAGATCGTGGTGAGCTGCTCAAGAAGTTTAACGATGTGGGCTCAGATTACTTCATTTTCTTGTTGTCGACCCGCGCCGGTGGTCTCGGTCTCAATCTGCAGAGTGCTGACACCGTTATCATATTCGACTCCGACTGGAATCCACATCAGGTATTGTAGAATTCAGTAGTAGTAAATAGCGTAATATTAGTCTGCAAATTGTACCTCATTTACTACTTTGTTGTAACAGGATCTCCAAGCACAAGATCGTGCTCATCGTATCGGGCAACGTAACGAGGTGAGAGTACTTAGGTTGATGACCGTCAACTCAGTGGAGGAAAGAATTTTGGCAGCAGCTAGGTAATCATATTATTTTAAATGACTAATTCTACTTTTCTTTCATATTTCATTGGAATTTAAATCAATGTGTCTCGTTTTAGGTATAAATTAAACATGGACGAGAAAGTCATTCAAGCTGGTATGTTCGATCAGAAGTCGACAGGCTCTGAGCGTCAACAGTTCCTTCAGAGCATTTTGCACCAAGATGGGGATGACGAGGAGGTTTGTAACCTAAAATAAATAATTAAAAATTAATAAGTATAACATTGTTTTTCGTAATAATTTTTATTCTCGCTGAATATTTGTAGGAGGAAAATGAACTTCCTGATGATGATCTAATCAACGAGATGATAGCAAGATCAGAAGAAGAGCTAGAAATCTTCAAACAGATAGACATTGAGCGCAAGAAGAATGAAACACAAACCCGACTTATTGAGGAGTCGGAGCTGCCTGATTGGCTGGTTAAAAATGATGACGAAGTTGTTTGCAATAAGGTGGGTTTCACATTATAAAAGTACAATTTATTAAGTTCTGTTTTTGATATTTATTATTATTTTATAACAAAGCTTATGTTCTACACTAAAAATAATACATTATGTTTAGGGGCAAGGCTGGAATTACCTAGATGAAGACGAGACACTAGGCCGTGGTTCTCGTCAACGCAAAGAAGTAGACTACACAGACTCTCTTACGGAGAAGGAGTGGCTAAAGGCCATTGATGACGAATTTGAAGAAGAGGAAGAAGAAGATGATGACGACGAAGTTCTTGACAAGAAACGGAAGAAGGGTCGTAAACGACGGTAAGAATATTTGTAATGCAACTCTTGTAGCTACAAAATGAAAGAAAAAGTAGTGAACTAACGGTTTTCTTACAGCCGCCCAGATGAATCTGATGAAGAAGAGGCACCGAGTTCCTCGAAGAAGAAGAGTAAAACTGAAATTAACCAAGTAAAGAAACGATTGAAGATGATTATGAAGAAAGTTATAGATTATACAGCAAAGGATGAGTGAGTATTGTACTTATATATTAAATTTGTGAACAGACTTCAAAAAAGGGAGGACATCCTCAATTCGTCTTTCAGTTTTGAATTTGTACATGTGATACAATATAATTATATTGTCTCATATATAGCAGTCGTCAAGGGGTTAATTCAATTGATGTAGTACTTTAAGAGGTTTGGCACAGTTAATTTCATATATTCGAACTTTCCAGCGGCCGTGTGTTATCTGAGCCATTCATGAAACTTCCGTCACGCCGCGAATTGCCAGATTACTATGATATTATCAAGAAACCTTTGGACATTAAGAAAATCATGAACAGGATCGAAGATGGCAAGGTAAAATTAATACATAAAGTATTATTTTTCTCTGTCGTTTCTACCTATGTCATGGAACAAAGGCGAGTAATTTTTGTTTCTTTTTTTACCAGTATAATGATATATCGGATCTCGAACGGGATTTCTTCACATTGTGCGCTAACGCTCAGACATACAATGAAGAGCAGTCCTTGATATACGCGGACTCGGTGCGTCTTCGCAACGCGTTCATTGAAATACGGCGTCGTTATGAGAGCGGACAGAACTCGGACGACTCGGATGATAATGATAAAGGTTGGTAACCATGATTGTTTTCTTCTTACTAATCTATATATATAAAAGAAAGTCGTGTTAGTTACACTATTTATAACTCAAGAACGCCTCAATCGATTTAGATGAAAATTGGCATGGAGGTAGCTTAGAACCAGGAGACGGACATAGGATACTTTTTAAACAATACTTTTTTTTACTTTTTACGGAAAATCACGAACGGGAGCGGGGGAAAATGGGATTGCGCGTACGAAGTCGCGGGCAGAAGCTAGTAGTAATATAAATGTGAAAGTCTAGGAGTTTGTGTGTATGTTTGTGAGTCAATCACGTCAAATTGGGTTGAAATTTGGAACAGGGATAGATTATGGTCTGGAATTACACAGGCGCCTTATTACCCCACGGCAACACGGGCGGCTGGAATTCGAAGCTGCGGGCAGAAGCTAGTTACAAATAAGTCTGAAAGGTCAAAGGTGCAGTAGTTGGTGGTACTGACTTCTTGCCAATTGCTGTATCAATTTACTACTTCTACATACACTACACATACATAAATATGTATGCGGATAAGTATTTTACCGTCGTATGGCACGATTCTCCATGCATTGTTTCATGTATTGTCATCATTGATGAATGTAGATGTAGCAGGAGGTATTTATTCTATTATATTTTATATTAAATTGTTTTTTTTTTCAATAGATGATGACGATTCGGATGGCGAATCTAACCGCTCTGTCAAAATGAAGATCAAGTTGAAGGGTAAAAGCAAAAGCACACCATCTAGGAAGCGGAAACCTCGAAAGTATGTCTCTGAGGACGAAGATTATGAGGAGGATTAAACTCAACTCATTGCATTACCCTTCTAGTAACTAACAAACACTTGATTGATCATGTTAGAAAATATTTAATAAGCCAATTTAAAATCATAGATTTACCTTTAGACAAGATTCAACTATATCGCTTCATGTAATGGAATAATTATAATTTGACATTATTATTGACATTTAAAATATTTTTCTTGCAAACAATGATTTCTTCAATACGTTAATGAATTATCTCATCTGTATTTAAAAATATTACATGTTTACTCTAGTTAATAGAAGGGAGCTAGGATATTTCAGGTAGTTGCAATTATGGTAACTTCTTGTTAGTAATTAAGTATATTATTAGTAGTAATAGTAATGAAATATTGTGGTATCCCTAGAACACACTAAGCAGAAGGCACTGGTGCTTGCATGTGACGTTTTTTGGGACTAACTTAAAGTATGCCTACAGTTAAGGATAAAAACTGACTTTTATAAAATATTCAAATTACTTTATAAGCTTTATCAACTTTGATTAAACACATAATAATATATGATTTTATCTAAATTTATCAGATAAAATACCAGACTTTTGTCTTATGGTTTGCCTAAACTGGCTGAATACCTGGTTACATTTTTTCGCAAATATTATTTTATGGCAATGATCATTAAATTTTTCTATTAAAATGTTACTTAAAGTAAGACCTAAATTATTTGACATTGACTCTGAATAACAAAATATTTTTATTCTCTAGACATCAAAACAATGTTTGGAATTTAGGTATTTAGGGTTAGAGTAATAGGATTTATGTATGTGCTTTGGCATTCAAAATAAATTTCTATGTTTAAATTGTGTTTTATTTAATATCAATTTTTAATGTATTATTTTGATGAAGTTGGAATATCAGTTTTGTCTACAAGCTTTGCTATTGTTTCTTTCCAGTCTGCCCATTTGTAGTCGACTCCATGTATAGTTTTCATGTGTTTATTAAGACTTGGGCTGTAACTAAACTTCTGGCTGCAAGTAGGACATGAGTAAGGTTTATCACCAGTGTGCACTCTCAAATGCCGCCTGAGGTTGCTCTGTGTATAGAAGCCTACATGGCACATGTCACATTTGAATGTTCTGTTTCCAGTATGCCTGAAACAAAAAAATATAAATCCATAGTTTTCATTCAAAGTGAACATTATTATAATTGCTATCAGTATAAATATCATACCTCTTCAAATGCATAATCAGGTTTTTCTTAGTATGGGTTTTATACCCACAAAGATGACATTGTAATTTCTTTTCTAAACTATGTTTTTTTCTGTGATTATGTAACTCTGCAGATGTTACAAATGTGGCTCCACAATCTTCACAGTTATAATTACAGATTTTAAAATGTCTATGCATATGTGCTCGTAGAGTTTCCTTTGATTTTAATGTTTTCAGGCAAATATTGCAAGTGAAGCTTGCATTTTCATGAACCCGCATATGTTTCTTCATAGTAAAAGCATGTTTGAACTGTTTCCCACACAAACTACATGTAAAGTAAGTTGTGGTGCTGTGAGTTTTCCGATGAGCTGCAAGACTTGATGACTGTGTGAAACTCTTACTACATTCATTACAGCTGTAAGGTCTTTCTCCATTATGGGTTCTCATATGACTAACTAAAGTCTGGCTGTGAGGTGTGGAGTAAGAGCATGATGTGCAATGGTATCTCCTAGCAGCACCAAACCCTGACACTTTACCAATATGTTTTCTTTTCTCATGCATTGATACATAATGTTTCAGTAGTGTGATTCTTGTCTTTAAAACTTTATGACATAAATTACATTTAAAGCTACCTGTTTCTTTTTGTAAATCATTTTCTTTAGCATTATTAACTTCATTGACCTTTCTACACACCACATTTAAATCAGAACAGTCATTAATACATGAGTCTGAATCTGGGCCATCGTCATAATTTGATATAGAGTTACTATGGCCAGTTTCAACTTGGTTTTTGTCTTTTTGTAAGTTTTCTTTCAAATATAACTCAATTCTTTCATTGAGCGTAACACACTTGAGTCTGAAGTTATTAGCAACATTCAGTTCATGTAGACAGTCACCGCAAATTAAGGAGGGTATACTTTCATCAGGAGATAGTGTAACTTGAAAACATTGGTATATTTTGTTCAGAGTTTCTTTGGATTCATTGTTGTTACAAAACAGATTAATGTAGTGTTTAGCTTTTTGTAAACAAATTATGCACAGTGCTTGCAAATCAACTTTCTCAGGTGTTAGATTCATTGTCAAGAAGGAGATGATGCGATAATTTCGTAAAAATACTTTTTACAAAAAATAAACAAATTAATCAACAATCAATTCCTCTGACTTTGACAATAATTTCTTTGACATTGATAGGAAAGTGAGAGTTGCCAGTTGAAATATTTGTACTGTGACTGTGAGGAGAGGTGACCCTCTCGATTACCATGATAAAATACTTGACTAGATAGTCATTATCTTAAACTTATTATACTCTTTGGACAAATAGAACACGGTCAACGGTGTCCTCGCGGTGTTTGACAGCTTAAGGGCGAATGATTTTGTATTTTCAGTCGGGTATATGGGTATTAAGCATTATGCCCAGAGTTTTACTGTTTTATAATTAATAGTCAATAGTTCAGGGGTTTTATCTATAACGTGTTGTAATTTCTTACCATGCCATATCTATGCACTTCTACGCACATTATAACAGACTACTATTGCTTTCGTCTTTTCCCTAGATTGATTTTATAATTTCATCCCAGGTCACCCACTGGCGGTTATAGGCCCTTCCACTATTTCTGCTCTCTACTTTGAACATACACAGGTCTATCATAAATCGATGATTGTATTGTATTGTACTTGTCATATGTGATAAAATTATCATAGTAGAAAATTAACTCCATGTGTTTTTTTTTTAATGGGGGAAAATGACTGCACCTGGGTGAGGCGGGAGGGAGTGCCAGACTCTTACTGACTAATAACCACCCCGTTCCTTCTCCTGCACGTCGAGCCGGAGCCCCGGTTACCCGTTAGGTTCTCCGCGACCCATGAGAGGTGTATGAATGCAATTATTGAGAAAGGGGTTTTACTTATTGAACATTAGAAAATAAAAATGCATTTAGTTAAAGGGTATAGGCCTATATTGTTGTTAAAGCCTACGCCTCTGCTTGAGCCTGAAGCCTCTTGATGTAGGATGCCTTCTTCTGCTTGATCCTGTTCTTCCTCTCGGCCAGGGTCAGCTTGCGCTTGTTCCAGCGCTTCTGTTTGCCAGCATCCTTCTTGACTTCCTTCTTCTTGTGGGATGGGTCTGCGCGGATGAGTTCATGTGCTTTCTTGTATGTAGCTTCAATCTAATGAAATTTAAGGTAATTAGTTTTGCTATTTGAGGAATGACACAGAATATTTTTTTTTGTTTTTAACAGTATATTGTAACAGAAGCTGAAACTTAAAGCAAGGTTAGGAAATTTTATTATGGCTAAAATGTTTTTGAAACTGTCGCAATATTTTAGTACTTAAAATCATACAAAATTATAAGTGTGGATGAAATCATTGCATTACTTTTGTCCAACTTCGACACTGGTCATGCTTTATTACAAGAACAGTAATTTGTTTGGACGTTTGTGTGTTATTTAAAAGAATACTTACAGCATCAGCATTTACACCGAGTTTGATGTATTTGCTGAATTGTCTCTTGAAAGAGTCTTCATCATCAGCCTCAAGACTGCGCATGTACTCAGCAACATGCAGACCAAAGATGTGTGCTCTGTAAAAAATTGCATTCATAGTAAAACTTAGATAGTTTGAATATAGAGTTGGTTTATCTTGGTAACAAAATTAAATTGTTTTCAAGACCGGTTTCCAAAAGTAAAAATGAGCTTTTGATCACAACCAAAAATCCGAATATCATGCTATTGCTCCAATAACGCTGACTAAATAATAGATAAACCATTAATTAGAGGATGAATGGAGCCAAAACAATTTGATTTAAGTACAACATCAATAAATTAAGAACTTTTGCTTACCTGTGTACTTCAGCATTGAATTTCTTTGCCTCAGCATCATAACCTGGGAACCTCTTGATGGAGTGAGGGACATTAAGACCACCATCAACTGCACCTTTCATGGCTCCAAACACACGGGCACCAGTGGTGGTGCGTGCTAGACCCACATCAAGGTAACACCTATGGATGATAACATTAATTATAAACTTTTTAATTTTCTGTAATATTATTTGTCTGATAACATTAATAAAAGTATCAGAAAATTACGATACAACATTTTTTATAGCATTGTACGTGCTTTCAGTCCGCCCGTAATAACTTCATCATATTGCATTATGACTCAAATGTTAAACAAAATTTGTTTACTCCAAACAGCTGGATTGACAAAAATATAACTATCTACTTAGGCAGATAATGACTTACCTGAAGGCGCCTGGACCAAAATCTACGGGTTCTACATTGTATTCATCACCAGTGACCTCAGTGGCACCGCTGTATAGTGAGTCAAGGCCGAGTCTCTGGAGCAGTCTTCTTGCAAGCAGCAAACCAGTACAGTAGGCTGCAGCATAGTTTGTCAAACCAACCTATAAATTAGAAACCAGACTATAACACCAAGTTGTTATAAAAATAACTATCACTAAGTATATGTAAATCTCAGTATTGAACATATAACAACAAGATTTTGAGTTTGTACGTCTCTTCAGACCGCCCGTTCAAAATCATCATTGGATACAAGAATTATGTGCAAGTTTGCAGTAGGGAATGTTACTAACCTTGACGCCGTAGCGAGGCAGTTCGTGAGAGTATGCGGCGCACACAATGTGGTCACCCTCGATACGGGAGTAAGCCACCTGGCAGGTCACATCCTTGTTGGACAGACGGACGATCAGGCGGTACTTGGGCGTGTTGTATTTGTTCTTATCCTGTAAATAACATTACTAAAATTAGAACTTGGTAACAATGTATAACAATATAACCAAACAAAAGTTCAATAAACAACTTACTTGAACAACGAGGCGTTTACGGGCATAGTAGTCGGTTTTTCCCTCACGACGCCTCTTGAACTTAACTTGGTACCTCTTGAAGTATTGCTTGTTCTTTACGACTTTCACGAAACCCTAAAACATAGCTCTAGTTCAATGGACTGCACATTTCAACAAACACTCATGTTGTGACAATTTAGGTTATCAGAGACACTTTATAATCATTAGTGCTGCAGTCCAAAACAAAACTGATATTGCAGTACACATAAAACATGGTACCACATATCTATTTTGCCTATTCTACAGCATCAGATGACGCGCATGTGTCGGTGTTTCATCATTTAGGTTATGAAAGTTATGTTCGAAACGAAATTTCAGCAATGAAGTTATCAAAAAGAGAAAGGTTTTACAGTAATTAATCATACTGTGTTAATAATTAATTGTTAACATATTTCTGTTGACTAGCTAAAAGTCCAGTAGTAACATAAACTTCTTTCTGACATGGCTCACGAAATATCAATCCATATTTTCACAATCACTGCTCGTAATTACAATAACATTTGATTAGGTACACAAGATAAAACCACACTACATTATCCTGAGAATATTTTAGCAACATTGCTCACCATTTTTATTTATTCCTAAAACTATTTAGGAATCTGGCGTCCAAGAAAGGACACCACCGGAAAAAGAAACTGTGGTTAGAAATGACACATGACGTTTGCTGAGGTGTTGCCAGAAACTTATTTATTATTAATAACAATAGACAATACAATGTAAAAAAATTATGATGGGTTACGAGCAGATTTTTTATAAAAATAACGTTCCTTTTTTAAAGACCAAATAGATAATAACTGATTTATTTATTTTTCTATATTTCCAGATTTTTTGAACTACTAAAACCCAGTGAAGCATATTTTTTTTTTTGAAACTAATATTCTTATCATTAATTTTAAAAGTGGTAACCTTTAAATTAAATGTCAAACTAAATTCTTCGTTATGGCTTCCTCCTATTCATATCCTGAATTATTTTTGGCGGGTTTTATATTTACCTTGCCCTTTTTATATGAAAAAAGCAATGTTTTCCGATATTACTTAAAATTTTTCCTCTACTACGCTTATGTGTTAATCACTTGCACAGTGCTTTTGCCCGTAGTATTAATATATCCTCGCGACGTAACAAACCTAATGTAAGATATCGATTTATTTATTATTTCTTGTTGGTTAATAGACTGTTCACGAATGATATTTACAGAACTAATTATACCAACTTTCTATAATTTTCCAGAGTTGCTTCCAGATTTTGTCGCTATGCCTCTTATATAGTAGGTATAGAATGGGAGTTGAGGGGGTTGGAACATTGGAACTCTGAACAATGCTACATTGTGATATCTAATCATCAAAGCTCATTAGATATATTAGGTATAATTACCTCTTTCATTTTTTGTATAATTTTTTTTTAGTAAAATATAAGTTATTATTTTTTCATTTAATATTTTTTCAAATTCTCAGGCATGTTTGAAATGTGGCCACGCATGAAACGCTGCACTGTCGTGGCCAAGAGACCTTTAATGTTTACTGGTGCATTTGGTTTTGGTGCTTGGCTCTCTGGACTAGTATTCATTGACCGGTTAAGAACAGAGAGAGCTCGTCAGCTAATGAAGGATGCTACTGCAAGAGTCATAAAAGAAAAAGTAAGTATCATTAGTACTGAATCAGTTAATACATAACTATTTAATATTTATCCTGATTTTTTTTAAACTTTATTATAATTTTCTAGACAAAGCTATGGATATTCCCGGAAGGGGCAAGATTTAACAAAGGCAGTATACAAGCTTTCAAGAAAGGTGCATTTTATTTAGCTATTGATGCTCAGATACCAATAATGCCAGTTGTTTTTAGTCAATATTATTTTCTTGATAGTGAGACCAAGACGTTTGAACCAGGTATGTTGAATTTTTATAAAATGTTATTTTTATATAAATGTTAGAATTATACATACAATAATATATTATTATTACAGGGAAGGTGGTCATCACTACACTGCCTCCTATTCCAACAAGTGGAATGACTCGCAATGATGTTGAAAGATTGTCTGAAATAGCCCGCCAACAAATGATTGATGTTTTCCATGAGACCTCCAAAGATTTAGTCATGCAAAAGAAAATTGCTATTTAAAACTATCTATAAAAACCTCCAATTAATTGGTGTAAATCAAATCTAAAAAGTATTTCCTAGAATCTCATCTTAGAAAATTAAGTGCTGTTAATTTTTTTTATCATTTTATTATAATTTGATTGATTGTAGTCATTAGAATGTGAGGTATTTGTAAATGATCCAGACATGTACACATCAAAAATGTTGTATATTACTCATGGAAATGTGAACATGTGGAGATATTTGGAGACAAGTGCCAATCATTCCCTCTATGGCTAGTTAATTAAGTTTGCTCCAAGAAGCCATAATGTAGTTATATAACCATGTTGTTCCTTTTACAAACATCTAGTCGTTTTTATTTATTTAGTGAGATGTAGTATTAAGAGGATTATTTCCTATTTCTAGTCCTATCTTTTATTTATAAGTTTTACCTATTTACCATTTTGTTGACTGAAATTATATCAAAATGTTTGTTCTTCCTTTGTGCCCTTAGAATGTTAAAAGTATTTTATATTGTAAGTAACTAAACTGTTTATTATTATTGCATAGTAGTCTTTAGTAATTTAACAAGCAAATAAAGAATATTGTTTTTATAAGTCTGCCAGTGATATACACTCATAAATACGCTCTTTATAGGTAAAAATAACTGTCATGTATATAATTTTATGGAAATAAGCAAGTCGCAATAAATTTGGTGCTTATTTTTACTGTCATAATACACCAGTCAGTAGCTACGAGACAAATAATCTAGACACAATTTGCCTAAAATTTAACCCTAGGTGTTATTAAAATAAAACAAGTTTAGAGAATCTTAGATAAATATTTATTTGGCTAAGCCAATGATTCTAAAATGCAATGTAATTTATTGCGTTTGGGCTGTATGCTTGTATACAAATGCGTCGATTCTCTTGATACTAACAACTAATTTGGTATGTACTAATAATACAAAAAATACAGATTTCTAATAAATATTTTCTACTGAAGTTTATTTGAAAATGTAAAATGTAACAGAGAGCAGTGGTTCAGGTTCATGTTTGAGGAGAATCGACGCCTATGGTAAGGTTGTGAGATTGTCACAACACGAAGCTAATTTGATTTATCGAGAACTTAAGTGTATTGCAATACATGTTAAGTTTTGTATGTACTTTGATGAAGCTAAGGATGGACAGAGCTTAATGTAGGTAATTTTGAAATTTAAGAGAGCAATAGTAATATGTGCTACATAATATGAATATTTTAGTTTTTAATTAGAAATATTTCCTGAACTCTGCATTTTATGGAATGTATGCCTCTAGAGGACATTATAGATTCAATTTTATACTTAGCAAGTAACTATTTGAGTACTGACATGCAGTCTTTTATAACCACTATTCTAGTTGTTCAAAGTATTACAATCATCAAAAGCTTTAGTAATTATAGATGTAACTGATTGTTTTTATATATTTTTGCTTTCTTAAATCTTCACAACTATCTGCTTATTACTTAAACTGTACTGTCAATAAATACATTTTGATACACAATGCACATAATTATGCAAAAGTCGTTATAAATTTACCTGCATCAGTAGTTCGTCACAAGCAATAAAGTTCATAATCTATGTATATAAACCTGAATGTTTGCTATATGATTGTGATCTAATAGTTCTTGTGCGAGAGAAAAGAACAAATAAATAGCACATACAATGAATACAGTGTTTTACTCTTATATTTTCACGTATTTACCTCCACTTTTACCTTTATAAGATAATTCATTTTTAACAAGGTGCTTACTAAACGGTAAATGATAACCTTGACAGTATGGTCAGTTCTATTTTTTTTTAAGCACATAAGTACTTATTTGTATTATAAAAAATAGTGGAGTACCAGCTCTGTGTGCTGTAATTAATTTTCAATATGAAAGTACAAAAATCGTTAACCAATAAATAAGGAATGTAAACCAACATTACTAATGCGTTTCATAATTACTTACAGTATAATGGCGAGAGAAAATGATGATTACAATGTGAGCACAACAATATGGTACATTAATTTGCGTTTAGGTCTGGTCTAATTGTTATTTAACATACTATAATTTTCTAATCTTTATATAAATATTTGATTTACAAATATGTACATATATCTTATTTAATATAGAAGTACTGAAACAATATTTTTCGCTTGTAGATTTGTTGTATAACAGATATCCTATAAATAATATGTGATTCTGCAATCTCAATCAATTCTATACTAATCATTCCAACTCTCGCCCCAGCCTTCATTCTCATCTATATTTTCATCTGGAACAAAGTTTAATTTGCTGCTTACGTTTCAGAATTTTGAGCAATATTTACAACAGCTGGCTTTTCAATTACTGGTGCCATATCAGCAAAGAAGTCGAACTCATCGGAACCTTTTTTCGAATAATCAAATTTCTGATTTTTTATGTCCAATTCAGAAATATCTACGATATTCTTTTTTGCTTGCATTGCAGCTTTTTGCAGTAATGTTGTTCTTGATTCAGATACATTTTTTGAATTTACATTTGTGTTTGAAGAATTTTTTTCATCCACAGTTTCGATGTTGACTAGTTTTCCATTTTTATTTTCTTCTTCGAAAATTGGAGAGTCTGGTTTTGTTGTCAATTGACGATTATCCCAGTCACTCCAGTCATCTTCACTATCTGCTCTCTGTTTTGTGTGTAATTCTGTTGATATAATTTCATCATGTAAAGATTCCCCACCAACAGGTGAAGGTCTTTCATTTAATGTTAAAGTCTTATCAAATGAAATTAATTCATTTCTTTCATCGCTTTCATATATCTCCTCGGAACAAGGTAGATCTCGCAAAGATTTAGTTAGATAAATACTATTTTCAGTTAGCGGACTGGCACCAGGTAGTAAAGATTTTGGTTTTGAATTAGGTCTTCCATCTGTGAAAAATTTTGATCTTTTCCCCCCTATGACAGTGTCAGCTCCTAATATTGGTACCAACTCACTTAAACATATTAATGTTGCTGATACTAAATTGTCGTCAGTGTCCTTTATCCCCAAGAGTAACTGCAACAATTAAGAGTTAAATGTTTAAATTATGTGTCATTTGATCAGCCAGGTTAAATAAAGCTGATAATAATTTTTAAAGTTTTTTTAAAAAGTTTTACATAGAGAGGAGTGGAAAGTGGGTAGGGAGGCCTTTGCCCTGCAATGGGACAATCATGGCTGAAAATAAAATAAATAAATAATGATTTCTAAAGATGTAGCATCGTATATAAAATACCCCTAACATAATCACCTCAGGAAGGATATGTTGAGACAGTTCTTCATGTGAGAAAACATGCACAAACTTTGAAAAATGTCTCAAAAGTAACATCCTTATTTGACTATCTCTCACTCCAAATAACTGCATTAGTCTGGGCTTAATGTGTTCTTTGAATACACTGAGACTAAAAAAACCTGGCACTTCACCATTAGTAATGCGATCTGGAATTTGTAAAATAAAAACATTAAATTGACTGTATTTACGAGGGGCCCTAAATAAACTTTTTAAAATACAATAATATGTATGTACAAGACAAGTATATTACCATTTTTAGGTTTAAGAATAAAAGGAATGACATCTTTTCTGGCAGTTTGGTCCAACATTGTGAGTCTAGATAGTAAAAGTCCTCCTAGTTGCTTGGCAACAGTTTCTTCATCATAACATTTTAGATTGTCTAAAATATTTGTAAAAAACTGGCACCTTTCTTCTTCTGATTTCAGAGGAAGGAAATTGAGAAATTTATATATAGAAATAAATTCATGATTGAAAAAGTTATGTTGTAACAGTTCTGATAAATTGGGTCTTTTGGCAGGATTTTGATGTTGTAAGCAATCTCTACAGTATTTCTTGAATTCCTTTAAATGTGGCACTTCATCTGAAAGTAAAAAACAGATATCAAAGTATTACTTGTAAAACAAATAGTGAGGATTGAATTTGAATTAAACACATACCATCTTTGCATTCTTTAAAAACATCATCCACTAATACTGCAAATGCATATTGGTCCACTTTAGTAGTAATCTCATATGAATCTTCATTGGGATCAACTGCTTTGTCATACCTAGGGGGATAAAATTCATAAAAAAAATTGCTTCATGCATTCAAAAGTAAAACACTATTATCTAGCATTAAACACTTATCTGAGTTACCTTGGTTTTTTATATGATATCTAAAAGATTATCAAGAAACTAAAGTTTAAAGTATACATATAAATAAGGTTATGTTAATAATAAATGGTACCTGTGAATCCTTGCATGTCTCAAATAAGCTGCTGTTAGTTCAGAAAAGGGGCACAGGTACTGCAGTCCTCCCAGCTTCCATTGACCATCTCCAGTAACATATATTGCTGACACACTAACATTGTTGTGAGACATACCAGCCTAGGCAGAGAAAGAGAACATAATATATATCCAATCCTATTGAATCAAACAGTCTGACACAGATCACTATATTAAATCTGAATATTCTTCAACATAGAAAGCACTTACTTGTTCATGAATAAACACCAAAGCTCTCAAGATATTGTTGAGTCCTATGCATATTTGGAGAGGTGTTAAGGATGGAAGGATATGTGACAATGGCTGCACATACTCTGTAGCTAAGTGCAGAGTAGAACGCTGTTGCCAAGCCGAGATATACCGAACAATGCACGGATGACGGTACTTTAGAAGATTCTAAAAAACACATTTAAGATTTGTAAATACGAAACAAGCCATAGATATAAAATTAACACAACATGATTACATACGTTTGAAAATTTTTCCAGTGGTGTTGATATCGACCACAGAGGACCAACTGCTGCCTCTCCCTTGAAAACTGAAACTGATCCATCGCCTTTCAGGCTGAAATATCTGCAGCTATCATTAATTGTGGCCTGATAGTGGCACCAAAAATCGGTTACCTCTATAGCCTTCTCTTCAATTTCTAGGCCACTTAACTGTGAACTCTCGTTACCCATCATTTAGGATTTTAGTTGCTTAATCACGCATTTATATCATTTCAATTTTTAATTATTAAAAGGAAAACTTGTATCAACAAAATGTTCAACGTGACATTCCGAAACTTTGTTGAATACTGTGACAGCTGATTATCTGTCAATCTGTCATTGACATGTCAAGAATTGAGTTCATTTCTAGTCTAGAGCTCCATAAACTTATTATACTCTTTGGTCTAGAGCCTCTTCACAATAGCATTTGTTCAGCGTAGGCTTTCGTTAAACGTAGGTTAGACTAGAAATATAATATTTGGTCTGCTTATTGTTACATTGTGGTAAAATTCAACTAGCTAATTTGTTTTGGTATATCTGTATTTGAGGCCTATGTCCAGCTGTGGACGAATACGGGCTGTTGATGATAATGATGATATCTGTATTTGTATATGACTGCTTTGCTTAGGGTTTTCAGGTTTGACTTCCAGGTCGGGCAAAGAATTACTGAGTTTTTTAAATAAATCTCAGCAGTAACACGGAGTTTGGCGGTGTATGGCAATAGGCTCAGCCCCATGGGAGTCATAACACAAATAGTGAAAAGTGCGTTTTTTGTTTTATTTTACGGTACATTTTACGGTAGCATTAAGTGCCGTAATGTGCACCTCTGCCTACCCCTTCAGGGATAAAAAGGCGTGATGTTATGTTATGTATTGTATATTTCAATTTGAGTATTTGTCACAATTGTCATTGTCAAATATTAATGTCAAAGTCAAACGTCTACATAATTTTTAGGTGCTGTTATTGGCAAAAATGGCTTCGAATTTATTAAAAAAAGCCATCTTTTCCAACCCTGTCTCTGTGAGAAAGACCCTTGGAATATTCTGCAATGCTACACGAAACCGTAAGGCTTATGACCATTGATATTAAATCGCTCACTGTTTTTATTTCTAGTGTTATGATTGTTACGTCATTTCATTTTAGATTGGAACTATCAATACATGCCCGGTCCATACCCGAAGACTCTAGAGGCGCGTGAGGCTGCGGCCAAGAAATATGGCATGACCATTGAGGAGTACCAACCTTACCCCGAACATATGGGCTATGGTGATTACCCGAAGTTACCTGATATTGGAGAGGACTCAAGGGACCCACACTACCCTTATGATAATCCTGAGTTAAAGAGAAACTTTAACGAACCTGTAAGCTTACTATATTTTACTATAAATAATAATTCTAATGACAATCCCACATGACGAGAATCTTGTGAAAGCTGAAAAAGATAAAGCAACTAAATATCTTGATTTAGCTCATGAGATTGTCGACATATGAGATGTGGATTCAGCAGTCATTGTACCGATAGTCGTATCTGCTAATGGCCTCATTGCTAAAAGCCTCGATCAACATCTGAGTAGGCTAGCGTTAGATGGTTGGGTCAAGGGCCTGATGCAGAAAGCAGTACTTCTGGACACGCCACATATTGTCCGGAAATTCCTTTCTCTGGAGCCTGACCACCGGTAGCTTGGATTTCTCCCGTTACTGGTGGGCTTGCTTTTTATATTTTAAATTTTTATATATAATCAAATATTTAAAAATGTATAAATCAAGTAAAGAAATAAATAAAGGAAATAATTCTAATGAAATTATAAAATTTATATTGAACATTTATATTCTAACCTAATGCTAGATGAATATTAGAACAGAGTTGGAGGATGGACTATTTGGGTAGGTAAAACATACAATATAGTTGAGACCCGTAGACAATTCTTCAATTCCTTAATGCAGGAATAACATTTTGTTTTAGTAAAATGTAATTGTGAAATAATTTGTATCTTTCCAGATGCATGCACGAATGGAAATATTTGGTGGGGACCGTTATGACCCTTCAATGAAACGCAGGTTCTCAGTACTCTACCAAGCAATCTGGTTCTTTGGTGTGGTCGGAGGATCTTTTGCATTGTACACGTTTTTGGAAGATTATAAGGTTGGCAGGCCTGTCACTGCCAAGCAGTACCCAGCTAACGGACCTCACTATTCATTTTCAAGCAACTAAACATCTATAAAATAGTTGTTTGCTATTTAGAATTATAATTTATTAGTCTCAATAAAGCAATTTGAGTTTTAAGTTATATCTTTTATTATTTGCTGTCTTGAACCATTGGAGAAGGATCTATCATATCTGTGTGGTTTTAGACATGAATTCCACTATTATCTTTGCTTTAAGCTAGGGCTCCTTTCTGTGTGCAAAGGTCACTGCCTCTGAATCAGCACTTTTTGAATAGGGATCCTGTTAAACTAAGGCAAGTTCAGAAGGAGCCACTGTGTCCATCAGAAAACTGTTCTGTGTTCACTGGAATCACATGTGTTTTAGTAGAAGTAGGTAATAGCCCTGGTTGTAAAGGGAAAATGTACAACATACATTAATTGAGAAAAAAGGAATATTAATTTATTTTAGTTTAATCATACAAACATAGATTTCACTTATAAATACTAGTAAAATATTCATCTTCCAAATCATAGAGATCGGCTGCAATATCATCTCGGAGTGACATTAGTTTTTGATCACATTCCTGTTGCTTTGTGCGAAATAGTTTGGAGTTTTGTGTTATAGCTTCATTTACTGATGGAAAATCATTTAGTATTAAGTATTGTTTGATATCTGACACCAACTTCATTAAGGATTCACCAGCTCTCACTGAAAAAAAAAAAACAAATAATAAATATCTTTAGTGAAAACATTGTATGTTTTTCACAAAATTCATTGTCTGATCTCTAAAGAATTGAGTTAGATTGTAAAAGAAAACCTTACCAATATTAGCTGCCCGGACCTGCATTTCAAATGTGTCTTGTTCAATTTGTGTCATTCTATTGAGCTGGGTTTCATTTTCAAGTTTTGCAAGCTTGATGATCTCTAAACAGCAAACATGACATTATTATTCAAACATATTTTATTTTTGCAATAAGAGATCATCTTGTACATTATCTTAGTAGTGCAAGCTAATTTTTTCCCACTTCACATCAAGTTATTACAAAAACGGAACACCATTGGTCAATAAATAACAAAAAACACATATTTTTCCATTTGAACATAGAAAATAATACCACGAAAGGAATCGATTAATTATTTACCTTCAAAATTTTCTAACATGCTTTTAACATCTTCCTTTAATCTTGTTGTGTAGGATTTAAGCAGGGCTTCTTTATTTTGTGGCAAATTTCTTTGCATTTTGTTTGTTAATATAAATAAAGATTCAAATCGAGTCACTATTTCACTAAATTGTTTTGTTACACGATCAATCAATCAATGAATGAATTTGACAATGATGAGTGACATTTAATGTCAAATGTCATTACAGCGTTATGTTAGTGCTGCGGAATTTGTTTTTTTCCGATACATTTTATTGTCGATGGGTTTTCACTGTTCAATAATGTTTTAGTTTTCAGATCTAAAAAGATGACTTTAAATCTAAGCGCCCTTCTTAAAATCAGTTACGTTATATAGATACCATACTATGCTATGAACTATGTAATAGGAAGCAAGCCAAATGCCATTCACCAAAACCGGGGTAGAGAGTAAAGTAATACCCGCACCGGGTACAATATCAGATGTCATGCTGCTATTTTCAAAAACTGACAAAAAGTACAATAATTCTATGGGAATATCCAATTCGGAGCCGCAGAGAACCTAACGGGTTACCGGGACTCCGGTTCGAAGTGCAGGAGTAGGAACGGTGTGGTTTTTAGTCAGTAAGAGTCAGATACTCCCACCTCACTCAGGCGTGAGAAGTCATTAGATGAATTTTCCTTCTTAAAAAAATGGGTATATTAGGTAAGTGAGTAAGTTAAGTATAAAATTAGTAAGTATCAAAGAGATTGATAACTATAGGGGAACCAAAGAGTATAATAAGTATAGGGGAAAGGGGAACCCGATCCGATGTGGTTTGCAATCTATGTATTAATTTATGTGGATTGTAATTCAAATGGAATTATGAGGAAGATAACATTTGTTATATGGTACTTACTTAAAACTTAGAGATTCTTTAAAATAAAACACAAATGTAGGATACATGAAATTAAATGCCTGCAAGTTTTGTTTTTATTATTTTGATTGTTTAGAAAATCTGGCATATTCTTTTAGACGAAGAGCGTTAATATTGATAAATCCAGTGCTATCTTCAGGTGAGAATCCTCCAGCAATATCCATTGATACGAGATCCTTATTGTATAAACTTGCTGAGCTTTTTCTTGCTAATATAGTCACTGCAATCAAACATTGACAGTAAGTGTAAAAAACGATTCGATTCACAGTAAAAAATTCAAATAAGAAAATAAGTAGGGGTTTAGTAACTGTATGTTTGGAAATCTTGTATAACTAACTTACCATTTCCCCTATAAATTTGAACGGTGACCATTCCGTTCACAGTTTCTTGTGACAATTCCAAACATTTTCGCGTGTAAGTGGCTTCAGGAGAAAACCAAAATCCATTGTAAACAAAATCAGCCATTTTGTCTTGCAAGTATTTTTTTACTCTGAAAGTTTCGTAAAATCTTAATATAAGTAATTTAATTATTTATTATTTAGAGAAAACATATGAGACGAGATTTACCTCAGCACTTCTCTATCGAGAGCATAGGCCTCCAGATCGACATGGGCCACATGGAGGATTGTTCCTGCCGGCGTTTCGTATAATCCTCGGGACTGCAAAATTAGTAAATTGTATTCCGTTATTTTTTTACTGTATCAATTTTGTATAGTAGGTAGGTAGGTACCCATCTAATAAAAATATTTGCATCGGTAAGCGAACATTGTTTAACTATTCGTATTATAATACGCTGATGTGTTACCTTCAAACCAAGGAATCGGTTTTCAACGATGTCAATGCGACCCACTCCATGTTGACCACCCAACTTGTTCAGGGTTTGTACTATGGCTAGGGGATCAGTCAACACAAGAGACTTTTCATGGCCACTGGGGATGCGAACGGATACTGGAAGTCCTGTTGAATACACAAATAAATACAATTTAATTAACGTTTGTTGTGAACAGATTCTCTGAAGTTATTTTAAAAATAATTTACCTTTTTCAAAATTGATATCAATCACACTTGGATAGTCTTCAGCCTGCTTCAAGTCGCGCGTAATTTTGAAAATACCACTGGGCGGTATTGCACCAGGATCTTCTAGGACGCCAGATTCATAACTAAATTAAAAAACATAAACAACATTTTGATTACATAGGTAGATTAGAGCAACTTCCACTATACTTATAGAAGGTATATTTTGCTTTTGCTACTGGTGCTTAGCTTACCTAATATGCATAATGTTTTCATCAGTTGACCAGGGTTCTTTAGGAGTTGCTGATACAGGAATGTTTTCCTGTTTTGCGAATTCAATAAGGTCAATTCGCCCTTGAAATCTTTCGAAGAATTCTGGAAGCCTCCAAGGAGCTATTACCTAAGAAAAATATTATTTTGAAACATATACTGTTTGATTTTGACGATCTTTATAAGTTAAATTAATTTTCCTTTGCTGTGCTTACCTTTCCTTCAGGCCATAATGAATAAACACTCAATTCAAATCGGACTTGATCATTGCCTTTGCCAGTAGCACCATGAGAAATGTACTTGGCTCCTAGTTTTTTAGCAGCGTTGACTAAGCCAACGGAGATGCAGGGTCGCGCTAGAGAGGTTCCCAAATAATAACGATTTTCGTAAACCAGACCCATCTGCACAGCCGGCAACATGTAGTTGGATATGAATTCTTTACGAAGATCTTCAACGATCACCTAAAAAAATAAAGACGTTAATCACAAAGGTAAATAATCATTACAAAAAAATAAACGAAAGACATATTTTCGTAGGTAGGTACTAGGTATGTGCACCATTAAGTACTCACGTCTTTAGCTCCTATACCCAAAGCCTTTTCCCTGGCTTTTTTGAAATCTTCATTTTGACCGACATCGGCCATATAACATACCACATCGTAATTTTTCTGGATTAACCTGAGAATTAAGGGATTATTTATTTAATAATTAGGTATTATTAACTGCTATTACTTAGTCCTGCTAAAGAACGCAGGTTGCGAAACGATTACTGTTTTTAGAACCAAGTGATTTACTAAACCTAGGTTTAGGTGCTTAGTTAATTTAGAGATATTTTTCATGCTTACCATTTTAGAATGCAGCTGGTATCCAAACCGCCAGAATAAGCCAATATTACGAGATCTTTCGCCATGTCGTTTTTGAAACGATATCACTTGTTGACTGGTGTCTATAATTTGAAAGCGACGATGAACTGTCGCACTTTTCATCGATAACCCTGAGGTTAACATAATAGTGAAGTCTCTCATTGTTGATAGACATACCAGACGCACGCTTAGATAAGTTATAAATATAATTGTTAATTAAAACGTCACAGCTTGCGATGTTACCAACATTTCTATCTACTGCTAACACGTTGGACGCCATAGACATAGGGGATAATGAATGGACATTATCAAAGAGACATCCTAATTATATGACTTTCGTTGTTCACGATCCAAGAATCGAACGTTTACTTTCGTATTTGACAGCTTCGCACTTTTTTTACTAAAAACCTCATTGTTTCTTATTCGTACCTATCATTGAACACCTACACCTACTATCCTATCCTGACGATACAAGAGCATGTGATTTGTCGTGAAAGAGAGCTATGCTTCGAATGATCAGACAGTCCAGGGTATACCGAGGTTGGGCGATAATTACGGCCTTACAGAAAACCGGTGTGTTTCGCTCTAGGAACTTATACCTAATCGTATTTGATCATTGGTTTCGCTCTACAAAATAGTAGACAAAGTACAGATGAAACTTATTATTCATTAGTATATCTACATCACTCAAGACTTTGAGAGTAGGTATTCTCAATCAAATAACAACAAACGCGATAACCTGCGGATAATATTCCAAAGACTGTTAGTCACATGATTGATTGTTTTATTTTTAAATAGTATAATAGTTATTTGCTACCCAGGTTTAATGATCCGCTTGAATGCCCGTATAGAAGACACAATGACTGCCTCGTTGGCCGAGTGGTCGCAAGTGCGACTGCCGGCCTCGGGTTCGATTCCCGGGTCGGAAAAGTACAGAGTTTTAAAAAAATCTCAGTGGTAGTACGAAGTCTGGAATTGTGCCCTTTTTTTAAGGGTGGAAAATCATCGAACGACTGCTTCCGCCTGGGTGAGGCGGAAGGGAGTGTCAGACTCTTACTGACTAAAAACCACCCCGTTCCTTCTCCTGCACGTCGAGCCGGAGCCCCGGTTACCCGTTAGGTTCTCCGCGACTCCGAATCGGCATCGGCCCTATTGGCCCTATCGGCCATCTGTGGTGGTCTGATGGCTCTTTGAGGCGCGCGCGGAACGCGACGCGCCGTACGCTGGAATTGTGCCCTAGGCTCACTCCCTATTACACGGGACTCATAACATAAATAGTGAAAAGTGGGTAATTGTACAGTGGCATTAAGTGTCGTAATGTGCACCTCTGCCTACCCCTTCCGGAATGAAAGGTGTGATTATTATGTAGAAAATACATTGTCTCGCGTGGATCTACGTTTAGACACAAGATGGGTTAATAGATAGATACTGTTTTCAATTTATATTATGCTAACCCTAGCAACTTAACGCACCACCCTGCCTTATTGAAGGAATTACTGTGTGTTCCGGACGAGTAGGTACGTGGGGCGTAGGCGGCGGCCGCGGCTACTGGTGGTACCATGCACACGCACGAACCTCTTGCAGAAGGCACCAATGACGCGAGCGTTGCACGTATTGAAAGCAATAGCGGATAGTATGGATATACATGTATTCTCGTGTACACTCAACGAGTTCACAAGGGTAGCATATAAGGCTGTTGTTAATAATAACTAAGTTCCTAGGATTTGTACTTTATTATTTGATTCTATTTATATAATTTATTTTGATAGTACGTACATAGATTTTAAAAATATATTTGTTGTTACTAAAGATACGTTTACTAGGGATAATTTTTTTTTTATCTTTATTTAATTACAGGGTTTTTTCTTAAAAGAAAACGTCACCCCGATTATTGAGTACAAAAATAACAAAAAGAACACTTATACTTAGATTTAGTGTAAATGTATTAGCCTGTAAGTTTAATTAATGTTCTTTGCTTATGTTCTTTTGTTTTTCTTTGTATAAGTTATTTTACGATTAATGAGGGATTATGTGTAATAGTTAATGTTGATAAGGTTATAGTAGTTTTTAAGTTTACTTATTATATGTAACTGCATTTTATTGCATTAGGTGGCCTGTGATGATAATTGTAATATTTAAATATAAATAAATAAACATCATAAGAGGTTCTTATAAAGGAGACGGTAGACATTTATGAAATAAAACAAGTATTATTCAATAATGATTAAATAATTTAATGAAATTGTTAACAATTAAATACTGATATTTATGATTTGACTGGCTAGTAACACGAATACTTCCTACATAATTGCACAATCCTTCATTAACACACAATTTATGAAAATTTATAGATTACATATTTTATAATAGCCAGATTAAGATGAGACCAACATACACGTTTGATATTATTTCAACAGTGAACTATATTTCATTATATTGAATGACGTTGTGATCGTAATACCTATCTAGAACATTCTACACGATATCTTAGTTTAAAATTGTAAATCACCAATACGTTAAACGTACCTAACTTAGTACAGACGATGTAAGAGGTAAATACTAAATAATTTCAAGAGTAAAAGATTGTCTATATTAGACTATATGACGACTATATTAGAGGAAGTTTGGAATGTCAACGTAACGGTTCTTATAATGAATAGCAAACACGCAGCATAATATCATAGTACAATAGTTGAATAAGTCTAGTGTCGTGAACTACATCAAGTCGACCCGACCGAGTGCCATCGACCGTAGTGCGCTGAACAGAGTAATGAAAGGTGCGCTTTTTGAATAACAGAGTTCTCCTCACAAATTATCTCTACAGTAATACTTGTAAGATTCTAGCATTTGGCATTAAATAAACTGCACAACGGTATTTGGAAGCGAATTTTACAACTAGTAAACACACACATGATAAAAGACATTGTACTCACTATAATTTAGTAGACAATTTATCTTTAAAACTAAGTCTATACTTTCAAAATATTATCTCGATAGAAATTTTAATGTACCATAGTTTAACAATAGCATGTTGTCTGAATCAGTCGATATTAATATTACGCAAAACCATGCCAAGTAATGTTTAACATTCCTATCAACAAAATAATACAATTGAAAACGCTTACAAACTAATAATTCCAATATTGATATAATTACTTTTAAATAAATGTCAACAATATAAATATTTTGATCATTCTGCTATACAACAAAACGTAATATGAAAGATAAAACATAATTATTAATAAAGCACTTTTGCACTCTGATCTTAAATTTTAAAATATACTAAGTTATTTATAGTACACACGATTTGAATTCAGAAACAACCACTGACTGTGTCAGACGGTAGTGCTTGTAAGTAGAAGCGGTAATAAAGTAAAATTGGCCCTTAAAATAAATTAAGTTTTGCCATAAACAGGAGCATAATCACTATATGCTGATATCACAATAAAAAGGGTCGAAGTATTGCAACACTGCAAATTTTATGTAATACATACATAAATTGATGTGTTTCAATGTAATGGGCCTAGACAAATCGCTAGCTTCGACAACTCAAAACAAGTTAGGCATTCACTTGATGAATTTCTGCAATGTAATAGTCGGCTTCTCAAGCATTCTCGATTTAGGCGGTTAGAGAGCTGAGATCTGACAGGAAGTTGTCAGGAGTCAGTATGTGGGACGAGCCGATGATCACTTCCCAGTTCTTAAGCGCAGCTGTTACCTCGTACGCGCAGCGAATTTCAGAGAAGCAGACGCCTGGAACATATAAAGTTGTAGACATCTGTCGGCTTCCCGAAGGTTACGCAAAAGTTACAAATTAAAAATCATTATTAACATCATAATTCGGATTATGATCCTATTGACTATAGGAGAGAGCTTATATTAAAGTTTTGTTTCCTACCTCCAACAACGAAGACAATCAGTCGCGGCACGTTCTTGATAGTCTGCTGCGCCTTGTCCTTATGCCAGTGTCCGTAACGCACGCTGCAATCAAACAAATATAAATATAGTAGTTTTCCAGAGATATAAAGTAATGACACACTAAAATTTCTATGAATTGAAATAAAGAAGAGTATGACATATTTGGTAGTTTACCTAGTTGGTGCCTGGTATCCTGAAGTTTGGGCGCGTCCTGCAAGAATGGGAAGTGACGTTGATCCAGCTTATCCTCAATGGCGTCTTCCATGATATCCTGAAAGAAGGGCAGGTGTATAGAGATCGAATTACTTATATTTTAGGTCATATTGAATTATACAAGTTTAGTGCAGTTGTGCAACTAACCTTGATCACAGGTGTCCATCTTGACATTTGGTAAGTTTGCTCAGTGATCCTCTCCTTCCTTGGTACTTGATACTGCTTCTTCCTGTTGCCCTATGAAATCAAAACAAAAGGTGTTTCGTTTTATGGTTACCACTGAATTCCCTAGCAAATTTGATAGAATTTAAAGAAACTTAAACACATGTAGTTACTTACATCAACCACGACATTGAGTCCCAAATTGGCAAGGTTAAGTAGGGTTTGCTTATCAGAGGGTTCCAGTTGCGCATGCGTCACCAGCTTATTCAAGTTCTCTTCAGAGATGCCATTTTTGGACATGATGTATAGTGCGATGATACGCATCTTGTTGAAGTTGATCACTGCCTGTAATGCGAAAAACATTTTAATTCGTATTTTCATGTTTCAATAGTTTTACAGTGAGTGCAACTGAGAAATTCTAAATTAATTGTTTTTTGGAGGAAAGCTCTACTAGTTTCAAGTAACATGGGGACTCATAACCACGTTTAGTATGCACTGCTTTTGTTACGTCGAAACTAGTAGTTTTCTCTCCAATAACTTACAGGAAAGTATATTTCAATAAATTCATGTTGGTCTACAAAGTACACTTTTCTGACTAAAAAAAAGGCTCATATTGTTTGGAGATTGAAGACATAACAAGTTGTGATAAATACCTGATCAAGAAGCACAGGTACAATGCTCCTCATGTGATCTTTGATCTTCTCGCCCTCAGCATCAGTGCCCATTGCAAGATCCTGTATTCAGAAAAAAAAAACAATTTGAAATACTTCCAAAAATTTTTTTTATCAAAATTTGGTATGCGGTATGAATAAAAAATCTCTCAGAAAATAACTTTAAGGAAATAAAGATCTATGTCAAGCGTTTAAATATTGTCTTAGCTTTATTTCAATTTCATTGGTGTGTGTACAGAAAACTGTCCTGATTTGTCACATATACTAAGGATAACTGGCAGAAATTATCGGGTTTTTAGTTATTTACCTGTTCGACTTTGCAAAGTTTGTCGACGTAGCCTTGGTAGGCCTTCATGCAGTCTTCAGCGAGGCGAAGATGTGTAGCGTACTTGGACAGCTCCTTTTGGTACTGAGGCATTTTCTTGATCATCTGGGAGAGATCGCGCATTGACTGCTTGTCTCCTGTGCGCCATTTAAATGTATTAATATTGTAAGACTATAATGCAGGTCTACTGGACATGATGATAATTATATATAATTGATGATTCATTTTAATATTAAAGACATCGGGGTATTGAAGAGTCTTATGGTCAATTTGGTGAATCTGACAAGGTATCTGATAACTTAGTCTAGTCATTTTATAACTTTCTGTCATTTTATAACTTTCTGTATCTTATTTTTTACAGTTACCTCCACCCATGCGTTTAGATTCAGTGAACTTCTTTAAGTTCTTGGTGACAGATGTGGATACAACAGCAATATGCTGGTGTCGCAGTTCTACCCACAGCTCATCGTTCTCATCCAGTAGTACTTCCTTCATGTTTCCAGACGAGTCATATCTGAGAGAAAATAAACCATATTATATGAATATTACATGCATTCGAAAAAATATTATTATAATATTTATCCTGGTTAGTGTCACTATTATGATTTATGATGTACTTCACATATGTAGTGTATATTGATGTTCTACTCACTTGTAGACATCATTCTCAATCGGCAAGAGATCGTATGCCATGGCCTGAAGAGTCAGCTCATGCAGTAAAGGCGACACGCAGTCAAAACCGCGGTCAATGACCAGCAACTGAGAGCGAGCCTTCTCTGGTCCCTCGCCCATCGTCGGCTCGTCGGCCTGTAGACAAAAACATTTTACTGTAGTATCTATAGTTAGGTACATTGCACAATGCTACATTCTTTAGCTTACTTAGTTTAGGCAAGTCTTATATCTTGTAAACCAAATGTTAGGTAATTAATAGAAACAGATTTTATTCTGATAGATTGAAGAACAAAATGTTTTAATTTGATTACCTTGTATGCATCAAGCTTCTGTTGGATCAGCTGAGCGAGTTCGACATTGCGTTCCCAGTCACTGTAATAGAATAATAACATTTAGTTATAGCAGTTACGACCTTACTAACTTACTAATAGTGTCCAATACAATTTGCTAATTACCTGCGGTAACGAACTGAGGGGTACTCTCCGAGAGTAGCGCAGAGGGTGGCGATCTGCTCGGCAATGCGCTCCATGTTGGCATTGCGAGTCTGAGCCAGTGCTGGGTTGTACATGCACTGGAATGTCTCAGGGGAATCCAGGGAGAACACCTAACAACACAAAAATGTCTATAAAAATATCAATTACTTGAAAAATTCAGTACATTATCTATAATTTTGTCCTATTGACACTTGAAATTGTATTGAATACTTCTACAGTATTGTGATGTCACATTTTTGATTGGTTAAGTCATCCTTACTAACCTGGCTCTCATAAGGCAAGAAAGCAATGTTGATTTCCTTCAAAGTTTTAATTTTTCTTGCTGCAGATGACTTGCAGAGTTCATTAAACAATTCCTCAGGGCATACTAATTAGTGGCAGCGTGTAACAATTATAACAATCATTAGTATTAAGGTAGAACATAGTCTTTTGTTAAACTAAAGTAGAATTTAACACAAAAAATGATTTTATCATTTATGTTATTGCTCATATTTCTTAAGTGATGTCATACTTTAAGTGAATGTGAGTCATGCATGCATACATTGATTAGATTTCGTTGCTGTAAGAAATTCTACTTTAGCAAGATCAGTTCTCCCTTCCGAAGAAACAATAAAATTTGACAAACCTGTTGTTCATAAGGTATAAAAGCAATGTTGATTTCCTTTAATGTTTTGATATATTTAGCTACAGGACTACGAGATAATTCGTCAAATCGTGCATCGGGACAAGCTGTAAAATAAAAAGTAAATTGCAAATAAAAGATAAAGCAAAAGAATGAGAAACTGGACTAGCAATACAAAGAAAGATGAAGTTTTATAAATTTTTTAGTCTACTGCGCCTTGATTATGTAAAGTACAACTTACCTTCAGTAAAGAAGACATGGGCAGCCCTGTACATGATGCGATTTCCCACTGAGAAGTCATTGATGAGAGCATGGACTGACTTCTCAGATGGAGTGATGAGGTAGATGCCATCCATGGTGCATAATGGTTCCCTCTTCTTGTGGATGTCTTCCACCACTAAATTGGTATGAATTATGTTCTCATTAGTTTAGTTGTTAATTTTGTAGCATTAGAAGTGAAGGTGACTGCCTCGTTGGCCCAGTGGTTGCAAGTGCGACTGCCAGGCAAGGGTCCCGTGTTTGATTCCCGGGTCAGGCGAATTATTTGGGTTTTATAAAATCTTAGTAGTAGCACAGAGTCTGAAATTGTGCCCAGTATATGGCAATAGGATCACCCCCTATTACATGGGACTCATAACTTAAATAGTGAAAAGTGGGTGTTACATCATACAGTGGCATTAAGTGCCGAAATGTGCACCTCTGCCTATCCCTGGGATAAAAGGCGTGATGTTATGTTATGATGTTATAAAGGTTAAACGGAACTAGGGAAGTTGGTTGGACTAAAATATTGTTGGAAACTACAAGATAACAACTGATTGAAATGAAGATTTTGAATTATGGCCTAATACATAAAAACTATTTTTGAACAAATTACATGATAACACCATAGATGGTCTGAAAAATAATGAAAAAAGGTATAGTTAAATTAGCTGGTGTCATATAGCTTTAAAAGTACTTACGTGTGATGCCTTCGGCAGAGATGTCGTGCATTTTGCAGCATGCTGACACCATGCGCATGGACAACTGGTCGACCACTAGGACTCGCCATTCTATTTTATCTTTTCCTTTTGACCGATACCGGATCACCTCATTCATAATCTCTGTAAAAAGAATATTCCACAATTTAATTGAAAGGAATAGGTATAGAGACAGTTTGATGGATAATTTATTTTATTATTTCGAAAGCTATTGTATAATTTTCAAAATAGTATTTCAGATTTGTCAAATTATTGGACTCATTTACCATTCCCATTAGACTCATTCCTATTAAACTACTGTAGTGATGTAACATGTTAAAGTTTTATGCAAAAAGCAAAGGAAAAACCTTGATTTTATTTTATTTAGTAGAACCATTTTTGACTGCCTCGTTGGCCGAGTTGTCTCAGGTGCGACTGCCGGGCAAGGGGTCTCGGGTTCGATTCCCGGGTCGGGCAAAGTACTACAGGGTTTTTAAAAAATTCTCAGTAGTAGCACGGAGTCTGGAATTGTGCCCGGTATATGGCAATAGGCTCACCCCCTATTACATGGGACCCATAGCATAAATAGTGAAAAGTGGGTGTTACATTGTACAGTGGCATAATGTGCACCTCTGCCTACCCCTTCGGGGATAAAAGGCGTGATGTTATGTTATGTTTTACTCCAGATACACAATTCAACATAAACTTTCAATCAATTACTGTTTGACTAAAAGTTAGATGGAATTGCATCATTCAACATTTTTGAGTGGTTGGTAACATTCTGATTAGGGTCAGTTAGGATTTCACCGATTTTTTATGGTTCATCACAATTTCAAATTGCATTAGACAGATAACAGACTAATGCAATCAATTGGCAATGGGATTTCTGAAAACAAAGGGCACGGGTCTGAAGGATCGTTTCATGAGTTCATGACGTATGTAGCACCCCACGCCCCACCCCCTTAGCTGAAGTGACACAAGAAAATCAATAATCCGCGCGATACGTTTACTGCCCTTTCACGTAACTTCCTTACACAAAATGCTTTCTCTATTCGATTCCACATTGTATCTAAGCTTTGTTTTGGTCATTTTTACAAAACATTCTTCGTCTTCCAATAGAATTCTAACAAATCTATAGAAATCCTTTGTTTACATCACGATAACTTGAACCGAACCGTATACTTAAATGTAGGTTGTTAGTCTCACTCCTATGGAATTTCAGATAAAAACACCAAAATAATTCAACTAAAACACATAAAACTATTAGTCATCGATAGGTTGATATCTGTTGATAGAAACAAATAATAGGAAATATTAACAATTCAACGAAAAAAATGTATCATAAGACACATCATTAATTTCTACTTTAAAATAAAATATATTTAAAGTATTTGAATGCTCTAAATATAGCTAAAAATATATTTTTTTAACTCACTTTGCCCGACAAGTGCTTTGAGAGCCATGTTGAACCGTAGACTAAAGAGCTGTATGAGAACTGTCGAAGAAGTTGAAAATTTGCGAGCCCTGTTACACGAACAAAATAATTATTTGACATTTACAAATCAAGTTACAAAATATATTAAAATAGGTCTGGACATGTTTTTGTTGTAATATTTAGTATCGACGTTATAAGACACTACGTATTATAATACAAAGAAGGGATTTATTCTCGTTAAAAATCCAATTTTTGTGTAATGATGTCCATGTCAGGTTATTGTGTCAGTCAGTCAGTCTGATGTTGTCTATGAAACAATATGTCAAGCGGTTTCAACTTTCAAGCCTAAGGAAATAAACGAATTCTTCCTTCTGTTCCTAAACCCATATAATTATTGCAATAAAATGAAGAGTAAGATGAAGTCTTATAATTATTAAGATTAAAAATTGGTAATATTTCCTATAATAATATGCATTTACCAAAACATGGATAACCATTATAAGCTTTCTACACTTTAAGATGCGCGCGCATTTGATAACATGAATGATAAGAAGGGCGGGTCAATAAAGAAGCGATAGAGACACAATATATTGCTATTTCACTCTTCCGTAGCAGAATAGAGCGGAAAACTGACTAGAATAATCTAGAATCGGCAATTCAGTTTTTTGTGTACTGGTGTTGGATGTGGGTGTGTTGTCGGTTAGCGAATTAGTGTAATTATCACGTGCGCGAAAATTTTTTACATCTATAACTTATTTAGGATACAGAAACGGTACCACAGTTAAGGTAAATATTAGGTAAAAGTAATAATGTTGATTTAATTGATATTGAATGTCTAACCGAGCATAATTTAAAGAAAATAAATAAGTTAATGGAAAACTATGAAACTACCCTCAACTTTTACATGCTTGTAATTAAAAAAAATAATGAATGTAGAGGAATTTAATAAAATCATGTTGTTTATTGTTTTAATTTTAATAAACAAATTCATATTCAAGGTAGACAAAATTATATAAATATATTATTTATTTTGAAGACTTATATATTCTTTATTAACACAATATTCTTTTATTTTTATTTAAATGCCGAATAAATTTATTTGAACAACTAGGGCAATTCGAATAGGAACGTCGTTTTTTTAATAAATTAAAAATATAAAATCACCTCGCACCGTGATAAAATAGACTTCGAATGTGCATAGCTCAAGTAGCTGAGGCTAGAGGCATTAAAATTTTATCTTATTGTACCGCTGCTATTTCCAATGATTAACATAGTTCTCTTTTTATCGGCAGCTGGTGAAAGTGTTGTGTAGTCGAGGAGTCCAGTGCTTGAAGCGCTTGATCAGCCACGCTGTGTACAGTGAAATGTAAAGCGATGTATGTTGGACTTGTATCAGTGTTTGTTGTTGAAAAGTGATTGTGTACAAGATGAGGAACGATGATCTGTTGATGGTGATCTCGTACCCCTGCCGCGCTGAGGGCTGGCTCGACCGATGTGGTAAGTCCTACTATTCCTACCGCCAATTAAATACAACAATGTTCTACGTGTATGTACAAAGTTTACGTTCAGTAACGCCTGCTATTTTTACCGTGAAATTATTCGCAAGTTATTTGGGGCGCTTTACGTAAGTGCTCAATCAGTGACATGTATCATGTATGCAAGTAAGGTCGCGTGCATTGCCAACAATCCCGTGTAATAGCGTATTTTTGTTGTTGCGTTTTATAAACAAAATGATTATTATGTTGTTCTGAATCTTCAAAACACGATAATTATTAAAAAAAAACTGAAAACCGTAAGCAGTACAGGTGAATTTAATTGTAGTGTACGTATCCCTGTATAAATTAAAATATCATTAGAGACATCGTGTAATATTTATAAGAGAGAGTAGTGAAAGAGAGTTGTAGATGATGATAGTTCCACTTTACGATGTTGGCTCTGGAGCGACATGAAGGTTTCCCTTATCTCTTAGTACCTGAGTACTTACCTACTTAGTGTGTAAACATCAGCCCATAAAGCTACCCGAAACTGATAAAATTCACTAATGTATGTATTTTCACAATTTTCGTAGTGCGTAACTTATGTTGAATACCTATCTATTAAATAATAAATACTAGCTTCTGCCCGCGACTTCGTACGCGTAATCCCATTTTTTCCCGTCCCCGTTCGTGATTTTCGATAAAAATTCGTCAAAAAGTATCCTATGTCGGTCTCCTGGCTCTAAGCTACTTCCCTATCAATTTTCAGTCAAATCTGTTCTGCCGTTCTTGAGTTATAAGTGGTGTAACTAACACGACTTTCTTTTATATATATAGATTAAATACTAAATAAAATGAAATTTGAAACTGTAATGTTATTTACTATTTTAAATTAAAGAATTAATTAATAAAATATCCAATTTTCACCTTAAGTGTGTGTTATGTACCTAAATTCTAACCGAAGTTCATAAATGAGGATTTTCTCATATTTGAAAATCATGCCATCGTGATTTGTAATCATGCTTTAGGCCTATAAATATGCAAATGAAAAAAATGGCCGAATTTGTCAAAGACGGTTGATAGATTTCTATAAGTAATCACCAGAGACTTGCGTGAATTGATTTTGATTTGTGGCCGAGATGTTGTGATTGTGTTTAATTGTACAGTTGCACAATATGAACAGTGGGTGTTGGGCGTCCCAGTCATGTCCCCGTCATCCGGCAATTATGTATATTGACTTGAAACGAACTACAAGTAATTGTTTAAGTCCTAAATTGAGCCACGTGCACACTGCTTAGTCATTCTGATCATCTGAAGAGATTGAGTAAGCGCAGAAATTACTTTAATTGATATGAATTTATTGGACGGCAGACTTCTGTTAGTTCTGACACCATTGGTATTGTTCAAAGGTGATACAGACCTTTAATTCGCAGTGTTAGGGTTGCTTTTACTAGATCAATTCAAGGCCCATTTTACAAGCTTCCTATATAAACACAACTATAGAAAATCGTAGCTAAAATTGGATTATGTTATTTAAAATGTAATTCTCCAATAGAAAAATAACTTGACTTTACTGAGTATTCAAATAATTATTTTTGCTGCGATCAGTGTAGTGTCAATCACGTAAGGTATTTGCGTTAAAATATAGCCTGGCTAGTGTAATATTTACCTTTCTTTTTCGCAGTTTTGGTTAGAAGATAAATGTTGTCCATTGCGTGTTGTACCAGTTATTGAGAACAAATGAAATTTTGTTATCGTAATATTGATGATGCTGTATCATAGACAATCGTGACTAAAATTGGACACTGGCAGGTAACGATACCACATTTTATTAGATTTACAACGCAATTATTACATTTCTGCGTTCAGTTTCGCTTGAATAACCAGTGTATTGATAATGATATAAATTCGTGGTGTTATTGAAATTATGTATCTATGCGGCTATGCCTAATGAAGTCGTATCTGTTTTGTTATGAAGTAATAACAAGTCTATCTTCGTAATGTTTCGGGTTTACAACGATACAAGCATTTGGAATGTTTTAGAGGATTTAAGATGCATGTTCCTCTCTAATAATTATGGTTGACTGTACCGATAACGTCATACGAGTTTCCTACCGATATTATAGTTCCGCAATTATCTACTATCTTCGTTCCTAAGGTCAACGTCTGAACACATCTGTCAAGTAAGTTTACAACTCTCAATTGTCCGTACAATAATAAAATCGCTAGAGTAATTAATACAATGACGGACCTTATCGTCAAGAGAGTAGCAGGTCGTTCGCGTATGGCCCACTTACAGTGAAAACTATACGCCGCTCTGTGGTTTCTATCGAGTTTCGGTCCATCAGGCTGGGACCAATTGACTCACTTTCTAGCCTCAATTAAGGGATTGTGGTATCCGTGAGAATGATTAACGTGAAGCGGCGGGAAAAGAAATAATGGGGTGAATACTTAGAATGGTTGCTTAGACGCTAGATGACCTAGGTAACTAGGTAGATACAATACTTAAACGGTATGTAGGTTAATTAACTCGGTTGATTTAAGCGTCTTAATGAGAGTTGTTTTATTTTGGATGTTTCCTAAATTTCGCAGTTTCGGTTTCCACATGGAACAAATATTTGTTGTCACTGACCGGCTTTGCCTGTTTGTTTTTGTTACATACTACAAGTATAATCTAGCTTTCTTTACATAAACATGTAACGACTTCCTCTTGTGTTAGTTATCGAAAATGACTCTTGGACGTGAGATCTGGAGTACCTCCTTTTTAAAGTAACGAAAGTACATACCTGCGGCATTAAGTCCACCCATGTGCTTGTTTGTGTGCATAAAGCTTTTTAAATAAAAAATAAATAAATATATACGTTCATTCTTTTCGATTTTGAAATGTTGAGGATTTTCGTGTAAGTACATTTTGTTCTATCATTAGCTCAGAAGTACAGCGAAAAATAGCCGCAATGTTTGTAAAAACAGTATTAACCCAGATAAAAGGCCATTTTTCACGCAATAACTTTCAGTGATGCGTGTTTAGCTCTCGTGGAAGCTGCCATTAATCTCGGTCCGAAGTTCCCACAATGTGTTGCAACAATAACAGCCATAAATCCATATAACATACCACACATAATTGTCCATTACAAATAATGGAATTTATTCATTATACAGAATCTATTTCACCTAAAATCCAGTTAATTCGGACAAATAATGAATTACACGGCCTAGTGGGTATTAGTGATGGGCAGCATGTATTGTATGTGAAGCGATGTGTATCATTATTGCATATTTTCTTACATCATTACAATACTGACTATCTACTGCATTATTTACACTGTTCACTGATATGCTAATAACATATTTGAATAGCGGTTATTTTTAGTCTAATGCCTACCAACGTAGCTACTATAAAAATTTCTCTTTATAATACCATTTCAGATGCAATTAGATGTTTAATTTTCTTTTCCATTGTGAAAATAAATGTGATTCTTCCGAGGGAGAACGACACGAATAGAGATATTTGTTTTGTTGTTAGTTTTCAGGCAGCTCCAGAAATAAATACCAATCCCATTTTGCTTCAAAATATT